TGGATTGTGGTATCATTTCAGGTCAACTGTGTTACTCTTAATGCGTGGTGATACAATCTGTGTTAGTATACTTTTCCTTTGATTCCAAAGTGCAATATTGCATTGTTCAATTGTCATTTTCTCTGACATTTGCATTAGCTATAAGCTGAACCAATATTGTTCTTGGTTTGAAAGTGAATGCGCACAAATATATTTGCTCTGATGAGAGAACTGTTTCTATAGATATTGTGCAATTTTTTTTGTTTCCAATAAAAATATCGTAGATCAGCTTTTGTTTTTAAAATTTTCCTTTTTTTGTGTTCATTATTTTCACCTAATTATTACAGATTAGATATCAATAATTTTTAGTATCAACCTAAGATACTCTATGCTGACTGTTTCACAATTGTCGTACATTTATTTCTTGTATGACACAAATTACAGTGATTTTTCTTTTTGTTAATGTACTTCCTATTTTATGAAATTGGAATTTTGAAGTTCACTAGGGCTGAATTAAATTTGGTGTAAAAAAATTTGGCATTCTGAGTCTCAAGAAAAAGAACAAGTAACTCCTAGTTATAAATTTCCCTTAAAAATGAATAGCTTATACAGTTATCAAAGAAAAATTAACCAAAGTAATTTGATAAATCTTATACTAAAGAAATCTTTTACTAGCAAAATATGTTAATTTTAGAATCCAAATTCACATTACTTTTTTCTCTGATTGTTCTTTCCATAAGTTTTGTTATATGCAGCTACTATGAAAAAATATACAAAGGTTGTTTCCCAAGGGAATTCAGATGTAGGGGATAAGAATTGTTATATTCAAATATAGTCAAGGGTGAAGGTTTCTCATCATTTAATGTCAGTTTTAATACCAAATTTATCCCTTTTCTTGTCTCACTTGGAAGACATGTTTTTTTGTGAAGAAAGATTTCTAAAATTGTGTATTTTCATGATTTAAAACTTTTTCTGTAGAAACGTGTATAAATAGATTGAATACGAATAATTATGGAGTTGAAACTAGTAGGTGAGTGAAATATTGGCTGAGGGATATCTGTTTCTTTCTTATGATTCTCAAATGAGTGTAATTTTAGGTATGGAAAGTGTTGAAATCATAACCTCTGACACCTTTTCCAGTCCTTTTGGGGTTTTAAACACGTGTAATAATAACTCGGTGCAGGTTTTTTTGCAAGTTCTTCTGCAGTTTGCTTATTGGCCTGCAATGTGGTGACCACAATTTGTCTTGCTGTTCATTTATAATTTCGCGATGTGACTTTTGAGGAATCCGCTTGGATTCAATAGTTTATGAAATGTTATTAAAGGGCAAACAGCAAAAAACTCCATTAGCAGGCTTCAGCTCTGCATCAGACAGTCCTTTGCTAAAATAATTTCTACAGAAGTTATTGACATAAGTTATAAAATTTGAACATAATACGTGGTTCCATTAAGATTCTTTCCGGCCTAATGCAGATGTCGCTCATCAATGAGAAAATCTTCGAACGGTTTATAGTCTTATCTTTAATTATTGCAATGATATGAGTTTGCAGCCGACATCGTATCCTCTTTTGTGGAGAGATGTAGTTGAGTTGGATGCGGTGGGTGAAATCTTACGGTGTTTAGCTTCACGACAACGCACCAGTGCCCATATAGCAATGAATGTTGTGAAGGACTATAGCTTTAAGGAAATGGATCATTCACACTACAGTCCACATTGGGCTCCCAGCATCACCAATCACTTATCAAATCTGAAGAAAATCCTTCAGAAAATAAAAGTTTCACATGAGTGTAAGATGAAAGAAGCATATTTTTTCTACTATTTTGTGAACAAAAATTCGGAGTATTTATTCAAAGGCATAGAAATGTTAATATTCGGATGTGAAAAGTGAGTTGGAGTAAAGGTTCTACTGTATGTATTGAGTCTTCAACTCTGAATATGCAAATGAATTATAGATTTTGTTTAGTATAGCTGAAAGCACTCCATTCCCCCGCAGCTAGGAAAAAGAGAAGTATTTTCCTTTGTTTATTATTAATTTGTTTCGAAACCAATTTGAAATCGTCCTATTTATTGTTTCATTTTTGCAAGTGAGTACTATTTTGGTTATTGAGTATTGTACTTTACAGTAACAATGTTTTCTTTCGAGAGGTTTGGGAAAGAATACGGAAGTGGAGTTTCAATATCTTAAATAGGGCTTTGACCCCCCATTGAGTCTGCCTAATCTTTATGACCTGTACTTAAATGATGTAATAATAATAATAATAATCATCATCATCATCATCATAATGTGTTTCACTCTAATGCAATGAGGATTTAATTTACAAAGTTGAATAGAGAAGTTTCAGTTGAACGATTTTCCCTGAATCCATGTTGAGAGTAAGTGATAATGTTACAGTGTATCAAGTAGTTTTTTAATCTTTCATAGAACAGTTTTTCTAATATTTTTGAAAAACCTGACAAGAGGGAGATTGGCCTATAATTTATTACATCTTGTTTGTTACCTTTTTTGTGTATAGGTTTAATTACAGCAGTTTTGAATATGTTTGGGAAGGAGCTATGAGTTAGTGATTGGTTGTATAAATATGTTAATGGTTTGATGATATATGGAGCAATCTCTTTTATTAAGAAGTCTGGTATGTTGTCTATCCCAGCGGATTGTTTATTTTGCATTTTGTTTATAATTTGAAGTATTTCCTTTTCTGATGTTTCTGTGATGAACATGCTAGAAAAAGAGTTTTTTAAGAAAGGTGATGGGTGTAGGGGTGTAGTGTTTGGATTTCTTGTTTTTAATAGTTTACCAGTAATTTCAGAGAAGTGTTTATTGAATGTACTGGCTGTTTCATTAGGGTTTGTTATTGTTCTGTGTTCATGGACTAGTTCAATATTTTGTGCTTTATTTGCTGGTAATGTTTTTTTTTACAATATTCCACATATCTTTTGTTTTATTTTTGAATTTTTTTAAATACTCATTATTTAACATATTGTATTGTATTGATATTGGATTGGATTGTATCAAACTTGAGGTTGAAAGCAGATATTTCATATACCCCTGACCATGATTCACTAGTTAACAGTGACATGAGATTGTTCAGTTTTTTTTCATTATACTTCATAGTCACCTTTATTAGTTTTGCTTTTGGTGAGGTGGAATTTATTTTGAGAGTGAGTATTTGAGCATTGTGGTCACTGAGCCCCGTATCATTGGTGATTGTGTATGTGTTTTGTTTTGTCTAAAAGGATCTGGTCAATTGCTGTTTGGGAGTTCTTTGATGCATGGTTGGTGTCTCAACTACTGCATCTAAATTATAGGAGCGTACTAAATTTATTTGTTTGATTCTGTCTCTTTCACGAGTAGTATTAGCTGTAGGTAGGAAGTTCATGTTTATATCGCCACTGATTATATTAGAGTAATGAGCCCTCTTTGTTAATTTATCCAAGTGTAATTGTAAGTTTTTAAGAAATATTTGAAGATTTCCATCTGGTGCTTGATAAATGCTTAGGAGGAAGATGTTCAGCTTTGGAATTTCTACAATTGAACATTCTATGTCTGAGTCACATGTTATTTGTTTGAATTTATTTACTTCTTTGGATTCACAGTTTTTGGCCAGATACATGCATGTGCCTCCATGCGTGTGATTAATATTGATGTGTTTGTCCCTACGACAGAAGTAACCAGCCGAGTAGAAACCTGGTATTTGTGTCATTTTAATTTGATCCTCCGTAAGGCAGTGTTCAGTTATACAGATTACATCAGTGTGTTTTATGTGATATGTTTGCATGATTGCTATTTCATGTATTTTGTTTTTTAAAGATCAAATGTTTTGATGTAGGATCTTGAATGTGCTGTGATTTGCAGTGGTGACTGGTGTAGTAGTGATTGTTTGCTACAGGTCCAGGTGCTGAACAGATTGTGGAATAGCACGCAGTTGTAGGATATGGATCGAGAGGGTTTTGAGGGAGAGTTTTGGGAGATTGGAGGGTTGGCGGCTATGACAGCATAGGTGGGAGTGGGAGTCACAGGACTAGGGGCCAAGACTGAATTAGGATGAGTAGAAGGGGCTGGTGTGGAGGGAGCCGGGGTTGGCGGAGGTGTAGAGAGTGCAGGAGGTGGTGCTAACAGTGCAGGAGCCTCTAGGATATGTGTGGCTAACTTGCATGCTAGTGCGTGTTTGCCAGCATGTCTCAGGTGGAGACCATGCTGGGTGAAGAGAGTCTCTGAGAGAAAGTCTAAGTTAAATAGTGTGATTTGTGTGTCTCACTTTTAATGTAATTTTCTTTCAATTGATCCGTGCATTGGAAATAAGTCACATAGATGGTTTTATATTTTCTTCGGTCGAGGTCCTGGGTATGCACCAATCCAAAGACATCTCAAGAGACAAGGCCAGAGACTGCATAGTTTCCTTTCAATTTCAGTGGGTATTGGAAATTAAGTGTTGCAGGTGTTTCTGCATTTTCGCCGATTTTCTACATATCGAAAGAAATCAACAACACCACTCACAAGGCCGCGGGCTGCTTACATTTCTGTCTTCTTCCATAAATTATGTATGCATACATTCCAAATTAAAAATATCGATATTTTTGTACATATCCTGAGTTCCTGGATTCCTAACAAAACCATGGTCAGCCCTCACATGGTCGAACACTGCTTACATAGTTTTCTTTCAATTTTTGCGCTTATCGGAAATTAGTAATGCAGATGGTATTTTTTTGTAATGTTTTTGGTATTTTTCCCCTGAGTTCCATGGTATCTATCGAAATCATACGGTCATCATCATGGTCTTATGATTGGCTCATACTATGTGTATGTCTATTGTAATCGTGTATTTATTACATAATTTTTTTCCTTGACTTTTTATTTCTTTTGTTGACGAACCTGAAAAACTTACTTTCTGAATGTCGCTTCTATAACGTGAATTACACTTATGGATTTATTGACAATAGCAGTTCACACGTTGGAAACACTACACAATTGATGAAAGAAAATAAGTTGACGACGATGACACTACTCATAATGCCCTATAATTTCATTTTACATACGCAGCATAAACAGTTAAAGGTCACCACTTACCACAAACCAAAACAAATAATTACAAACATTGAATAAAATATTATTATTATTATCATCATCATTTAAAGGTACATTAAAATTAAAGAGATTATATGAAAAGGAAATGTTTCTTTTCATATTGTTAGTCTTAGGCCTTCCCATCATCTTCTAAATCAATATTCAGTTCTATTTCCTCGCTAGACTCGCTATCAGATTCTTGGTCAGTTGGATTGCTATCCCATGGTACTATTTCTTTCTCTGCTTCTGCTTCTTGTTGTTTATCAACTTCTTGAAGAGGGGAGAGCCAAATCTATTCAACAATTAAGTCATTCATCAATGTATTTGTGAATGTAACATGAAGCATTAATATGTGATAGGCATAGGTGCGTGCAGCCTTAAGCCAAGCAAAGGAGGCAAATATATTTCTGGGCCCCTTTTTTCATTCAACTTTTTTAGTTACATGCGGAATATTTTAATATTTTACTACATAAATAAAACTATCAACAAGGGAAGTGAAATTATAACAATTTTAATACAAAACATTTGATTTTATGTTGAACCATTTATTAGGGTTGCCAGATGCCGTGAAGAGCTGCTTCTAATGCCATGTAACAATTACCCAAATTGTCTGGAAATCAGGGACTGAACATATCTATGGAAATAAAATGTTTTATTAAGTAATATTAAAGAGACCCCTCAAGAGGGGTCATGGGCCCCTTGCCTTCTTCTGCGCACACCTATGGTGATATGTAATGACCTCTTTCATGATTGGTTCTACTGAAAATAGCAGTTAAAAAATAAAACACACATTTAAATTAACTCAAGGTCTTTGTATTAATTTATTCCACTAACAAATACAAATTTTCCTAGTAAATGAAATTTCTGAAGTATGCCAGTAAGTAGGGCATGTGAAAAGTTTTAATAGTATAAATGCTGTTTAAAGCAGTATGTCAAATTCTCAGTTCTGGTGGAAAAATAGTGCCAAATGTGCTATATATGCTACAATAAAGTCTTCCGTGCAATTGTCTACTCTTTTTGTTCACGTCCTAGGGCATATTGTACAGGGCACAGGTTATATATATTCAGTTACTAGCAGCATGTGTGGGTGCTGGACATTAATTGCAGACATAATTGTTTGTACCCTAGTGCCCCTTCGTCCCATGGAATCTATATAAATAAAATTAATGTCTATGATTACAAAATAATTTCCTTTTTATAATCTCGTAGGGTTATACATTTTGTTAAACACTTAACATAAACGCCATTTCAATTATTATATACTTTCTCTTATACATACGTATATACGGAGTAATATATGTAGTATAGAGAAGGTTATGCAATGCTGGGGAAATTGATTTGGAGATTTCAACGGAAATACACATTTTGGGGTCCCTTGATACTGTGTTGATTTTTTTTTTTTTAATTGAATTGAATTTGCCTTATTTTACGTGGCGAGACTCGGGCCATCAGGCCCGCTCTTCCGTCTGACCGCGCAAATTTCGCTACGCTCCTTTCATCAATTAGCAGAGAACGGAGGTATTTCTTGGGTGAGAAACAGGCGATTTTGAATTTAGCTCAGAGGCGTCATTTAGGCTTGAGGATCTTTTACATGCAAGTAAATCTACGAACATGGGACAGCCGGCTTTACTTCCCCTCCGAAGGAAGGCGTACGAAGGATTTTTTCGCCCTTAAAAATCCACGGCTTCGATCGGGTTTGAACCCGCCAACTTGGGTACAACAGTCCAGTACGCTAACCGTTACACCGTTACACCATCGCCGCCGCCGCGTAAATGTCCATCCGGTGTATGCGAAGAACACTGGGGCTTAAACCATGCATAGGATTTATTGCAAATTGAAGAAATCCCTATCGATTTGGTCTGAGTCGAAGCTCTGCAATTTTGAAAAACATTCGTTAATTTTTGGGCATACTTTACATTTTCACAATTTTCTCAAAAAGGCTCCAAATCTTTTCCTTAAATTTCTTGTAAGAATAGAGTAAAATACACTTATAAAGGTGACATAGATCCGATTTTCACGGTTAACTCTGAATTTTCAAACATTTCAAAAGTTTTTTCGGCGTTTTCCTACTTCAAAATTGAAGATACAGATTTTTCCTTCAAATGAATTTTTTTCTCCACAGTGAGTTCTTTCATTAAGGTCATACACATATTTTTGATAATTTTAGACGTTTTCGCGCAATATTGCGAGAAATAAATGCAATTTAAAAAAATTACAAAAACAAACTTTTCTGAAAAATGGCTCTAGATTTTTTCTTTAAACTTTTGGTTGGGGCAGTGCTAAATGCACTCTATAATATGACATAAACGCATATTTAATATGAAATACAATTCAAATGATCATTAATACATTGTGAGATCATGAGAAAGAAGAATTGACACTCGACATGTCTGCAAATTTGTTGAAAGTGGTAAAATAGTAGATTGAAGATTGTAATAGTAAATAAGTAGAGCAAAGAGCGAATTTCTCTCCCTCGTGTGGGTGAGAGAAAGACACAGACACACCATACTCTATTTTTACTTTCTCGCTTCGGAAAGGAGAGAAAATTATGTAATGCTGCGCGAAAAAACGTTGACTTTTTGGCAGAAAATCTCTTATTACAGGGGGTCGTGGCTAAGGAGGTGGACACGGTCTCTGTAGACCATCACCCGGACTCTCACGGCACAACCGAAAGCTCCAACGGGCAAGGCGCATGCCTGCTGTACGTAAGGAGGGGCCCGGCCAGTCTTTGGTGGAGAGAAATGACCATCCGACACCAGTTAACGGCGTACCCCCGCTTCAGGGCTGGCCATTTGGCACACAGGCCCAGGTAGACAGCGTGTTTCCTGCTGTCCCTACGGCCCCTTCCGTGGTCGCCATTGCCGCCCGCTTCCTATCGGAAGCAGCAGGGCACTTCTCGTGCCGGCGTCGGGAGGGTTCTGAAGGGTAGATTTCACCGACCCTTCGACGATGAGGAACAAAGAGACCGCAACAGAAACAATGTTGCGATCGGCGGTACAGTGGGAAGGCCACCATTTAAAGCTGTGTTCTGCTGGCGGTGGTGCGTACGCCCTCTCGTGCTGCTGGTGGCGGGGTCCGCCGCTGAACTTCGCAGTAGCGCGTGGGAAGACCTCCATTAAAATAATGCTCTGCTAGGAGCCGCGGGGTTCAGAAGCACGCAGCGGTGGCGACGTGAGAATGGGCCCTTAGGGACGGAGACAGAGAAACCCTCACTCGTAAGTGCTCTCACTGCGGGCGTGATTGGGTCCCAATCGCCGGAAGTACCAGAGTTTCCCTCGCTAGTGCTGAGCCGAGGCGACAAGTAAGCAAGCCTCCGGCTCTCTGGGAAAGTTCAGTAGGTTGGACACGCAACCTAAAGATGAATAGGCTGGCTGGGGCGGCGCTAAAAGCGCTCGCCAATCAAGGTGAGACGAAGAGTATTAGCATTCTAGCAACTAGGAACGTGCTAACGGCGTAGCCCCGTCGTGTAGATATAGGTGCTGAGGCACGGTTAGGCGGACCGCACGTTGGCCGCCGCACAGAGTGCAGAAGGACCTTGGTGGAGGAGGAGACAACCCACTCAAATCTGATCATCAACGCAGCCGCATTGTCAGGGTCTTCAGGTGGCACATGGCCAGCCAAGCTACGGCCGGCGCACGCAAGAGGGGTCATTCCTCTTGTGCAGTGCCAGCGCTAGGCACATGCACACCGAGCAATGGCCCGGGACTGGTGAAAAAATAGTAAAAATGAAAAAGAAATTAGATTTCTAGAAAATTGTTATCGTATTTTTTATAAGCCGCGGTTCAATAGACTGATATTTCACAAAATTCCAATTATTTTTTTTACAGTAAATAGTTAATTATAGGCATTACTAATAAGGGAAGGCTCTATGAAATTAATCAAACGACGAACATTAAAATAGCTTCTACTGAAATTCAAATTTATTATTTAATGTAGAACAACAGGTGATATTATTAAACACTAACTAAACACAACAAATATTTTAGCGTTTTAATTCGAAATTATGTAAATACTTTTTCTAGCTTAAACGTAATTTTTGTTATTTGTTGGAATAAAATAACTCGTTACAGTTTCTTGAGATAACTTTCACATTTTTAAATTTTCTAGAGGGTGGGCTGCGTTTCAGCATTGCCTCAAGCCCAAAATTGTCTAGCTACGGTATTGCCCAGTGCAATTAATTAAATACACGCACCCGATCTCAATATTCCAGCACACCTGGGTCGCAGAGCGTATTTGCTCAATGGGTACGCACACGCCTGGCGGTCCTCAGACCAAAGCTAATACACAGCAAAGGGCGCATTTAAGTTGAGGGCAAGCCAGATCGGCACTAGCAAACGAGAAGAATGACGCCAGATGCTATCGAGGGTACAGCTTCCAAATGGGCATTGAGATAGTATCACACATAGCAAGTAGTTGTAAGCTAGGTTAAGTTCGAAGAAGGCAGAACTGTGGGAATTGTTCGAAACTTTGACGCTACTGCCGAAATTGTGAGATCACTGATACAATTGGGCCGAATGTTCGCTACGGCGAAAAAGACGAGCAATCGCAAGATCCAGCCGGCCAAGGTGGGGCCTTCGGAGAGAATCCCTTGCCGCGGCCGGAACGTCATAACGATTTGAACAATTAGGAACAAAGTTATACGCAGCGAGGGGACGGGAAGAGGGCCCCAAACCTTTTGGACCTTAGTTCGGGTGGCCCTCTGCTTGGCTCTTGGCTTCGTCGTGGCAGTGGCCCGGTAGCTCAACGGATATTTGGGTAGGGATTCGCCCCGGTGCAAATGCGGCACTATAAAGAATTCGTACTAACCAAATGGTTAGGAGGGATATCAGCTGGAGTTCTCAGCCTTACTCAGGTATTGTGTGGGAAGGCTTTGTTCCGATGTTGATATGAATGTGGTACTGCACCATTGGAAGGCGTGAGATGAATCCTCCCGACATATCTACCCGGAGCTTGCTCCTCGGAAGTCGTTAATAAAATATCCATTTCAAATCCATGGGGCTGCGACATCAGCCAGATTAATAAGGGAATATCAATTAGAGTAAAAATCCTACTTACTGTTTAGCCTCTAGCATTTTTCACAGACGTATGGACAGACAAGTCAGAGAGACAAACCATTTTTTCAGTATAACGAGCCCATCAACCATGCATTCTGACTACACCACATGTTAGAGGAAATAATTTACTACATTTACGAATCAAAATCCACTTTTTTGCTACCAGAGTTGGCCAAAAAGAATTTTCCTGCTGCAAAACCATTATGCAAGAAAGTGTAATTGATACTGCAGTGAATTTGCCCTTGATAGCCCAAATTAAATTTTCATTTGCCCAGGCACAGAAGACATTCAATATCTAATATCATGATCAATGTTTGGGGATCTTTCATGAATATTTTAATTACTAAATATTTGCATCACAAATACCTAATAGTTATAACTGCCTAATAATGAGTAATTTTACTTTGTGGTAGCTTTTTATGGTTTTATTACTTACCTTGCTTTGTGGTATCAGTCTATTTGTAGGCTTTAGAATAGCTGGTTTATTTAGAGAAACTATCTGTTTTGTTATATCTGTAGTAGACATTTGTTGCAATCTTTTTAAAGATAAATTTTCATCTGGAATTGGTAAGTCTGGAAACATTTCTCGTAATGAAGTTGTGTTAGAATCTTCATTTTCAGAAATACTGGAGTACTTCTCCTAAAATTTGTTATAATATGTAATTATGTTAAAAACATCATAGCAACCTAGGATATCTATATCTTTCAAATTTACCTCTGTTAAGTGGCTTTCTAGTGAATGAGCACTGGTAATACTTGGATTGGGGCTCACTTCCACTGTTCCCTCTTTTGATGTTCCTGCTGATTCTGATTTCTCAGGTTCTGTATTTTTTACAACAGCTTCAATTAAAGCATGAGGAAAATATTCAACATCCTAAGAAATTATTAAAAACAAATAATATTTTTGAAATTTCACTGAGGGGAAAAGTCATAGCAACTTCAAATGGAAGATTACCTTATTTGTATCACAAATGCTAATTGATCTTTGGGTATGATTTTTGGAACATTTTTCAAGTTTTGACCCTCCAGGTTGTGTGCCATCCAGTTGCTTCGTATTTGCGGAAGTTTCGGGTTGATCATGTTTAATATCCTGAGCAGTTAAGTTTAACATATTTTCCATTGCCTTTAATCGAATTGAAAAGAATTTACCTGAAATCTCATCTTGTATTTGCACCACATTAATATTTTAGATGAGCAAGTTGTAAAATTAATGGTAGCATAAACTTGAGGTTCACGAACCTCAATATTTCTGTTCTGAGATTGTTCTGGTGATGGAGGCTCTTGTTCATCTACAGAGTTTTTCATTTTTATAGTCAGAACTTAGTGTATCACATAAAAAGATTTGCTAGAATAAATAATGATGCTAATAAATTAAATTGCTTCATTGTATAATTTTTATAGTTGAAAATGGTTAGCATGATTTCTTTCTTAAATATATATTACCTCTTAGGAATATGCAATATTTGTTGATAGCTGTGTCCTTTACTCCAAACAATGTAAATTTCTTGTTTCACTTTACAAAATTTCTTTTACAATGCCAGTTTTATGAGTGATAGCGTTGATAATGCAGATTCAAAGTTTCAAGGAATATTGTACACGTGAACTACAGTTTGCTGAACTACAGAAAAATCACAATCTCACTTTAATGGACCAGTGTATTGTGTTCATTGGCATAGTATTAACTTAAAATGTATATTTAATTGATGAAATATCTGCCAAACTGATTTGATATTGTTTACTGCAAGACATTGTTGAATGTGTTTTACAAGATTATATCAAAACTGAAAAAAACACCAAAATAACATTTCTTTCTTTTTGAAGAAACAAAAGCAATTAATATGAATATTTATACAGGACATCTGAGACCAAGAAATGTTCTATAGTACTAGTCATACCACTGGCTAGAAATTTAATGGTCACTTACAACACTGGATACCTCAAAAATTTACTTTAATAGGTGAGAAAATCAATTACTCATTTTACTGGAATTAACTTTATCCTGAAATTCATTTTTATAAAAGTTACATTCTTTATTGAGTGGTTAATACCTTTTTTCCTCCTATGATCAAACTCTCCAATGTGTCTGTTTGATGTGTGAACTAATAAATCTTGGTTAATATTCTGACAAGGTTTCTGGCACAACCTAGTTGGGAAAAAAAAGCAAATAGCATTTATTTACTCTCAACATGCTTCCTTAGCAAACAAAGAAAGTTTGGAATTTAGTTTTATTCATTTAAATGTGTTAATTTCAGTGAAAATGTGCAATCTCTCAATACTGAAATAAATACCTGGAAGGAGACCATTCTTTTGAATCATGACTCTTAAGGAATTCTATATTTGAAAGTTAATGAAATATCAAAGAAAACTGCAATAATATGTACCTTCTTTGTTCAATAAAATGAAGCAATTTTTCTGAAAGTGGTTGCAAATAATGGTGGTTTTCATTCACAGACTTCGGTTGCATTTCTTGTTTTGTGTGAATGTAGGGATGGGCATTAAAATCTAAGCATCAACAGAACATGATTTTATTGACCATAAAATTGTTTCATAAAAACATATTTCTTCTCTTTTCAATGTTTCTTACCAGCAGAAGAAAATAATTTTGAATTCTTCAGAATTTCTCCATATAACAGTGACCGATGATATGGAAAACCAGGAATCAATAATACTTTGTTATAAAACCATTTAATACGCGATTCCCAACAACGAGGATGCTGGCATGAAAACAAACAACACGTTTCTTTTCTCAGATTGATTGGATACACTTTACTACAAGTTGTCTGAAACTGATCACAAATGATAAACTTAGAATGGAAGCAAAAAATTATTTTACACCAATAAACATTCTAATTCTATAACTTACATGACCACGGAAAGACATTTTTAATTTTGTAATATTCGATATTTTGCTAATTCCAAACGTATGAAGTTTATTTTTATATGACTGATACAACTTAACAGTGCCACGTCAGGGGTGATTTCAAACGGAGTAGTCAATAACATCCTAGCAACATACTGCAGTATATTGCTGTATTTCGTTTCCAAGCGTTCAGGAAAAATGTAATGACGACCTAGTTATTCTTTAATAAAATCCTACTAACTTAGTCATTTTATTTACGAGCGTACATTGGTTCGAAAATTGCCCTATTCACATGATGAATTTCGTATGCCCGCATCTGTCAACTATCCGCATAAGCAAACGAATCTGGCGGGTTTACGCTCTCACGAACTGTTTAAGGGAGATAATGATTCGACATAAACAATACTAAAAATTGGAATTAATAGAATTTTCAACTAATAACTTTCTTTTATAAACTGCTCCGACGAAATTTCCACAAGTTACCTTATTCACTTCTTTTGATGTTTATCTTCATGCGTCACATCGTGTGGGTAGTTTTCTGCAGCGACATTAGCGGCACCTACATGTACATAATCTATAGAAGAACTAGTGTGGCTGAATTGCTGAACTATAGTACTCATTCAGGCTCTTTTATTGTGCTCAGTACTAGTACTTGCGTTCGTACGTATCTTAGGCGAGTTCTGTACGGGAATTTGTGAGGAACGTGATAATTGAGAATTTCATCATTGATCCACTGGCTGGCGTCTCAAGTGTCATGGATTTTAATGTAAAAAAATTGGTTCGAGATGCTGGAACTGCCCTTAGTCGTGTTGTTCAGGTATAGGCATTAAATAAAGCATACATATGATAGATGTTTATAGTATATTCATTGTGTTTTCAAGTTCGTGTACAAAATTGAAAATTAGTTACTAATGTGATTGATTCAAAGGTTGACTTTTTGAAAATTGTTCAGTAGAGTTTCTAACAATTTGCAGTTGTTCAAAGGCTTCTTGATCTCTGTGAATTTCAGTTAACAGAAGAAAAACTTGGGACATCAGAGAAAACAGAACTAGACGCTCATTTTGAAAATTTGGCAGAAAGGTCTGATACTACCAAATTATGGACAGAAAAAATTTTGAGAGATACAGAGGCTGTGCTGACACCAAATCCAGGTATGAGCGATACATTTTTAACATGATGAATTGCAGGGTTATCAATATTTGTTTTGACATAGATTTTTTTTAAATCGTGAAAAGATGTTAATTGCCATGTTGTACTCATATATCGTTTCAGTTTATTTTTATCTCAAACTCTCTATTTATAATTGGGGAAAAGGAGGACAACATTTTTTTTCTTCAAAAATTCGTTTCATTTTTAGTTTCAAATGTACTTCCGAATTTAGAAACTAAAAATCTTTAGTAATTTTATGATGATTTAAATAGCATATTTTGTAAAGCAAGTAATCAGTATTTTGTGATGTAATATTAGAAATGGAAAATGTATTTGTTTACTGTAATATATATAAATAATTATAATTTTACAATAAACTATTAAGGTAAAATTTTTTCTGAGAATTGTTATATTTTAAAAATGAGTTATTGAATGAAGTTGGTAATTCCGGGTCTGCCAACTGGTAAGGTCATTACTCTTATTGAATTAAGTTGTACATTTTATTGACATCTGAACATGTTAAATTAATCTAACAGTGTATTAAAAGTTAAATGGTGCAGAAGACAAATTAACCCCAAATTAACACAAGGCACTTGCATTAGCAAGTGTTTGCACAGTCACATTAACTTTAAAAGATGTAAATTTTTAGGAAAAGTGGTCTATTAACCTTTAAGTCCAAGCGAAGTGAAGAGGGGGTGGGGAACACCCCTTTTGAATTTAACTTCTTGTTTACATAAATGGCATAATTTCTTATTAAATAAATAAATAAAGGATACAATCTAAAGAATTATAATTTAACTTTATTGATACGATTCATAAATACTATTGATTTTATGTTGGTGTTTTTTTGGTGTTGCCAGGTGGCTTGAGGAGCTTCTTCCACATATGCATAACATTTTTCAAAATTGCTTGATGGGATGGGATTAAAGAGATGGAACATATTTACAGAAATAAAATGTTTTATTACACAAGGCAATGAGGCCGTGTTCAAAATACAAGTCTCTCCTCCCCACTGTGCGTATACTTATGAACCTAACAAAATTGTGTGTATTTTTTCTTTGATTTGAAATGGTCATAACACATTTCTATTTAAAAATTACAATATTTTCCTACCTAAAGCATAAATGTGAATACAACTTCAAGAAAGAAGTAAAATGGTAGTGGCCTGCAACTAGGATATATTTACTTATTTACTTTCAACTTCATTTTTTAACAAATAATTGTAAAGTAGATAATCATATAGTCATATACATGGGGAATGATACTTTTCAAGAAATTTGATCGTTTGATGACTGGTTACTTGATAATTTGCAATCCTGTGAGCCTTTCGAACATCTGTGTTGAGATAGGAGGGAAATAGGACTGTAATTACTATACGTATTTTTATATCCTTTTCTGTTAACTGGTGTTAAAACTGGTGTTAAAAAAAAACCCACTCACACGCACACCTCTGTGAAAACTCATTAATTACTTGTGCAAGGGATTATGACACACAGAAGCTACTGATCCTTGTAATAAATGAATTAATGTTGTACATTTCTAGTGAATTGTTATTGCTGATATTGAAAGCGAGCTTTGAGAGTGAAATGTTTGTGCATATAATATAGATACGGGAAACTCACCAGAATATGTTTATTTTTTAAGTATTAGCATGAATAACGCTGTCAGTCTGGAATATTAAGGTATTTCTTTAACATTATTAAGAAAGAAAGTATTAAAACTATGTATTTAATATGGTATGCTTTCTAATGCTTAATTGGCTAATGCTGATAATCTTTCAGCTTTGTTCAGGCTTATTCACAGCTTGAATGGCTAACCTGCCATTAAATGCTAATTTAGCTTTGGATATTTCCTTTCTAAAATAGGACTTAAGGAAATAGGAAGTAGATAAGTGGTATGAGAGGGGAGGGGCAGGCTGGCTACTTGGAACATTTTAAAGGGACTCCATAGCCATAAAATAAAACATTTTATTTCTGTAAATATTTTCAATTCCTGCTTTCACCCTTTTTTACTCAACAATTAAGGATAATTTAAACTTGTATTTTATTTTAACAGAAATGAACTGTAGTAGTTGCCTCCCTCTGCCCCCCCCCCCCACGTACATACATACATACATACATACATACATACATGCACGCACGCATGCATGTGCACGCACACAAACAGGCACACACATACATACACATTGTTTTAGGCTCTGCATGCCTGTGGTGTGTAGTAATCGTGAAGAAGAAGAAGAAGAAGAAATAAAGGAATTGGGTGAAGAAAAATTAATTTGCCAGCTGTACAATAGACTTGAAAACAAAATATTTCTCTTATGAATGTTAAAAGTATCCTCTAATTCTTGATTTAAATCTGTATCTATCCAAAGTAATTTTACTATACACATATTACATGAAAATATTATTCTTTGTTGAATTAATGTATGGGTAATTGGTGTTTTTTAAAGTATTAGTGTAAATGTTGCTAAGCATGTATTGTATGTGTTACAGGGAACAGAGTGGAGGATTTTCTGTTTGAGAAGATAGAAAAAAAACGTCCAAATAGACTAAGTAATTTAGAATATTTAGGACTAGATATGATGGAAGCTGGAAACGATTTTGGTCCTGGTACTTCTTATGGTAAGCAGGTGAAAATTTGTTGCTATATTTTTATCGAGAATTCAGCTGCAGTTACTCTCAATTTTTACCTATTAGGTGCGTTAATTATTTTCTTGTGATATCAAAAATATTTCTCTTTATTTTTCTAATGTGATTTTATTTGCATTTGGTAGTTTTAATTAAATATTTGTCCTCAGTTGTGAATAATTTTGTTGTGTTCATGTATATGTCTGTGGTACTAAGGTGGAACATGATGTATCAAAAAACATGATATTTTAAGACACTTTCCAGAGGTGGCATGTTCACCGAAATAAAGGTTTTATTTCCAATACTGCGGCAAGACCGTTAATGTGTTTCACAAGTAACCCTAGTTTGTTCTGGCAGGACAATATGAAGAATCAAACAAAAAATTCACTTTTTTGACGTGTTGGGTTCTTAGTACCACAGATTTTTATTCTCAACAACAGTTAAGTTTAATAAAGCTAAAGTAAAATCAAATTTGACTTTGTATATACTATATCAGGATTGTCCTATAAATTACATTTTAATTCCAGGAAATGCTTTGATAAAAGTTGGTCAATGTCAACAAAGACTTGGTCAAACAGAACGGGACTTCATTACAGCTGCAAACCATTGTTACATAATACCTTTAAGGAAGTTTCTGGATGGAGAAATGAAGACTATTATCAAAGAGAGAAGTTTGCTTGAGAGCAAAAGGTTAATTTCAATTCTAAATATTTATTTCCAACTATTCTTGCTGGTTTGTACTATTAGTGTTATCTTAAACTTTGTTGTGACATTTAATTTATTTACTTTAATTTCAGAACGATTAGTCTTGGAAATATAATATTTAATTATAGTTATTTTTGAATTTACTTTATTTACCTGAATATAAGTCAACTCTAAGACAGTTTCCTAATTGTGCAGAGGCCTTCTGAAAATTTTTAATCAATTCTTACCACTTAGTAAAAAATGTGTAAATTGTCTAATTAACTAGAAAGTTGTTTTGTTGGGGAGAATGTCTGAGCTATCACTATTTTCTTGTTTCTTGAAATCATCGCAATCATGGTTTTTGTCGCTACTCTTTTCTTCACATATATCATTAGTTTTTTTTGATCCTCCTCCCATAGTGCATTAAATTCGGGTTCTTAGTCTTGCATCTTACGCCACATAACAACATTCCCGTCTTTGTCATCAAATTTTCGTCCAGTCCCTCTCTTGTTTGTGGCACATAATTCTTTAACAGTTACTTACTTTCCTCAACAGAATGTATGTGGAATTTGTATTATTTATTGTTTTTGTGGAAGATTTGTGAACTGCAAACTTGTACATCTGTTCCTTCATTTTGCGGGTAATATGGGAGATTGCAGCAAATTTCCAGGGTGGGAAGTTTTTGTTAAGAAAATATTTTTTATCATTTTTTACTGTGTTTGGATGTTGAATGCCTACTTCTAACAATGTGAATTTTATTAATTTTCATGTTGAGTTTTATTTGGTGCAGTGCCATTGATTTTTGATATTCTCATATTGTTGGCCCATTCAAAAATGTTTGTCTGACCACCCAGAAAATTCATGATGGATGCTGAGAATATACGCATGACATGGACAAGCAATGTGAAAACCAGGCTTAATCTAAGAATATAAGATAACCCATAATTTTTGAATTAGATTTTTTTAGGATTAGTCTTATGTTCAGGTAAATGCAGTAATTCATAGACGTAAGGGAAAATATTTTAACAAGAGATCTAACAATTTTCTGAAGAAAAAAAAAACAAACAACAACAACAAACCAAGAAGAATTCAAAGGCCTGGCTATTCAATTCACTCTTTTAACATTTTTAGTTCCTTTGGGAAGCTAAAGATTAATGGGCTAGCTGGCTACAATATTTGTTGCATTTTTCATTAATATTAATGTGTCTTTCTTGACTCGCTTCCCCTTCTTATTTGTTATATATATATATATATATATGTGTTATATATATATATATATATATATATATATATATATATATATATATATATATATATATATATATATGTGTTATATATGTTGGGAACTTTTCTTCTTAGCTTGTAAAGGTTACCAGTAGAATTTGTACATTTATGTGAACTCTTGTTTTTTATTTATGCAATTATGTTTGTGGGTGTAAATAGTATAAATTAATTGTCCTCGAACAGTTCTCAGCATTTTTGTTAAGTTCAAAATTTCAGGTAGGTGAAATAAAAAAAAAAGGGTTTTGAACACAATTACATCAGTAGATACAGTGAAAATCTTGTGGATTTACCTTAAAACAAGGTTTCACACCACAATATTAAAATTTATAATGGATATTTCATGGATTTTAGGTGCGCTGATATGAAATGTGAATTATGTAAAATTATTATCGGCTGAGACTAAAACTAAATAGGAAAGTGTAGAGAAAAGCAGATAAGACTAATTGACAAAAAGCAAACTTTCTTAAACTACTAATATCCAGTGGTGTTTTTACAGAAGCTGATACTAAACAAATTTGTGGTAGAAATTATGTCTATAGGGAATATTAAATTTTACAGCTAAGGAAATGAAATGAAATTTGACCATTACTATCAAATTAAAGAAAAGTAGCCAAAATGATAAAAATTAAATTCTGATAAGTGCAATTTGTATGTAATGTTTTTATAACACATTCATTATGTCTTAGTAGAGAAATGATATTTGACGACTCCCATTAAATGAAGGGAGATGCTAAAAGATGGAAGCTGCACTTGCAAACTCAAACCTTCGCCTTTATATAAAGACGATGATTATATTCTTGTATTTGTCAAATTGTTATATTTTTTTAAACACTAATGATATCAAAATTAGTCCTTTTAACTGGAAATTTTGAAACCTCGATTTTTTTGTATTATTATTATTTCCCCCCCTGCATTTCAATGAAGTGACAGGACCGTCATCTGATCAGCAACATAATGTAGATTAAGTGTTATTCAAAAGATCAAATTTACTTACTTTACTAAAATTCTCTTTCCGTTTATGGAAATAGGGTCAAATATAAAAAAACCTGACCACTTAGCTCCAGTCTCTCAGAAATTTGAAACTAAGTAATAATGAATTTAATTTTAACATTCTGAAGATTAATAAGTTTTTAATAAATATGTTAACAATTGTATTGTCTCTGTGTTTACTGTTATTAAAGATTGCATGTAACTCTTTATGAATTACTCATATAATGAACATTTAACAGGTTAGATTTGGATGCATGTAAGAACAGATTACGAAAGGCAAGAAGCATGCAAGGTCAGCAGAATGTAAGTGTTTCAACATTTAATGTCTCTTAAAATTTTTTAAATTTAAATTATTTTATTTGTCTGTGAAGTGAATAATAAAAATAATGTAATCTAACAGTACTTTGCTGTGCATGTAAACAAATATAACGTTTTTCCAATTAAATTTCTCAGCAATGTCATTTGGAGAGTAATGGAATATTCAGATTTCATGATTCGAATTTTTGATCTTTCCATGCATTGTAATAAATAAGGTGTTTAACAATTTGTAGGGCACAATGCTGACAAGGGAATGGTCAGAGGTGACATTTTGAAATATGTTCTGAATCTCTGTTGTTTATCCAAAAGTATATGAGAAGGAAAGAGCATACACAAAATTTTAGCTGCTCATATATACATTTGAAGTATTTTTTAAAAAAATATTGTAGATGTATTTCATTTATGGTGCAGTTGCTGAAAGATGTAAACCCTAGAAAGAGCAGCCATCTAAACTCGCACTTCTCAAACTGTTTATCGCTTAAACAAAATACCTCCCTTGGTTGTGGTCTACACTGCTCGGCTAGATGAAATTAAACAAATAATTCCGAAGGTTTGATCCACAGTGCTTTAGTTGTTTGGAAATTGTTTCATCCATTATTTATTGTTACTTTTACACTATTGTTACTGTTGTCACTGTTAGTAGTCTGTAATAGTATTTTAGCTGCTGTCACTGTAATTAGTTTTTCATTGCTCCAGGTCATCTACTATAATCTACAAAATTAGATCATATAAATGTTTTAGATCTTGCAGTCTAGCATTATGGAAAGAGACATGAAGTTCCAAAATCATGAGGTTTGAAACACAATTTACACAAATTTCTAGAAGTAATAACTAATGCCTACTTGTACTCCAGGGCAAAGTTTGAATTAGAGTAGTAAGAAACCAACTTATGGCAGTTGACAGCAGCTGCCCCCTTCTCCCACTGCTGCTTTGGCATGGCATTAGAACTCATGATAATAGATGTTTTGTGCAATAACTAATGATTTTTTGGGAGAGATAGGGAAAAAAACTTCTAATGAATATGAGCAGTCAAAATTTTGTGTGCAACATCTTTCACATGTACATGCAGGTTAAAAAAATTGGGACAGGATTCAACATTTCCCCCGACCAGTCCTTTGTAAGTTATGACGTTTTAAGAACAGTAATTATTGGTATATGAATTTTTAGTTCATTTATTATTGCAAAACAAATGTCTGAATATGTTATCAGATTGTTTTTTTTTGTTCAAACATTATTGCTGTATGGTAGGCTTTTTGTGGAAATACACAAAGTTTGAATTTTATTGTATTAGTACATTACAATTATTATTATTATTATTATTATTATTATTATTATTATTATTGCTTGTAAAAATACATCTGTTTACTTCATATTATGTTTTCTACACCTGTGGAATTTCTGATATGTTTTATTCCATTAAGGTCAGTTAAAGAATTGATGGTTATTACATATTTGTTTACATGCTATGCCTCGTCATGTCAACTGTAGAATTAGCATCTAAAGCTTCAACACCATGTACTTATTATACAGTTCACAAATACATGGTTTTGTGTTTTGTTACAATATGTATTCTTTGTTAATGCTACAAATGACAGAAGGAAGGGGTGAGTCCAGAGGTGTTGTTAGAGCAGGTAAACAAACTCCCTGTTAAGCCTGAGCTGGTTATGTAATGATATTGCAATGATTAGAGCATAAAGTATTCCATTTGTAGAAATGACACTAATGTTCCTGTTAATTTCAAGTCAAAAATCTCAGAGTCTGAAGGAATAATTGGAAAACAGTAGTCGATTGTGTTAAATAATTGCTCGTGAACGAAATTTCTCATTCTTTTCTCTTCAATTTCTGTATTTTATAATTGGATAACTTAAATTATAATTATTTTATAATTTTTCAGAAGAAATATGGGAACTCAAGATAATCTAGTGATGAAATGCTAACTAAATACATTCATTTGTAATTGGATTCATAGCAGTAACAATAATATACCATACCTAAGAGCTATTTTTTGAAGTACTGTTTAATGGCTTGTATTATTCTGCAGAATTTCTGCTATGATTCACTAAGAATGTAAAAAATTGTTTAAATGAGACTAACTGTAAGAATTTCTTTTTGAAACCGAACTTATGATATTCCGATGACATTGATGTAATAAAAAAAATTACAATTGTTTATATTTCTTTGCATTTTAATGAGGCCTGCTCTGAGATATCTCAACTTTTTTCACTTTCTATTTAGTGTCATTGATCTATTTTATGTTCTCACTGTGATGCACCTGAATTTGTATTTTGACTTTTGGCATAATTTATGTTATAGAATCGTCAGTGGTTGTCTTTGAATTCTAGCCCGATTGTTTATGTTTTACACTGTAGCTGTGAGAATTCATTTTTAAATTATACTTGATTCTTCATTCAATAATCAATGCATGTGATGTTTATTCCTAATATTGTACCCTAAAGAGAGAAAAAAGGATATTCCTAACACCACAAAAATATTTGTTACAAGTACAATCTTAATGTTTTTTTCATTGAAAATTTATGGTTTTCTGACTAGTTAATGAATAAGAGGCAGTTAGTGGGAACATAAGTTAGTAGGGATGTAAGAGATTATATTGTAGTTTCTCCTTTTTAAGTTTTTCAAAATATTAGTTGGGAGTTACAGAAAGTATGATTTTCTTTTAGTGGCATCAATAATTAGAATGTTTATATTTTCATTTTCTTTCTTCTTGAGTTCATATAAGTACTGAATTCTCCTAGAGTTAAAAAGGCAATAAGAGCATGTCTGACAGCAATATCACTTTCTAGTGTTGAGGTGTAGTATGTGTAAAGTTTTACTTTTGTGATCTCTGTGAGCACTTGTGGGTCTGTGGGGAAATCGCACCATCAAAAGCTTAGTACACAGTAAAGGACAAAGGTGTAAAACATTGCATCAAGTTTGAAAAACTTGCAGGCATGTTCAAAACCAATCTCATAAAATGTATTTTTTTCAAGAAAATGTATTTATATTTCTGAATATGTTTATGTAAAGCTCCTTTCAGTGTTGAATGTAAGATAATGATCAGATAAACTGAATAATAATCAGATTCAATATGCAAAAGAAATTAAAAAAGAAAATTCAATTTAAAATTCCAAAGCTTTATTGAATATAAATATCTTGTTTTAAAAGAGCAGATTATTATTACAAAAATAAAATTTGTAAATAGATTGTGATGACTCGTGTATAGAAATTTAAAAAGTATAGTTTTTAAGCTTTTTCAATAATTTTGATTCAAGGAAGTGCAAGGTTTTTCAGCTAGTGTGATTGCCAAGTAGATTCTGAAAGTTAAGTGCTCTGTATGTGTATTAATTCTACAACTATTTTCGATCCTATTTTAATCCTTTTTAAACTACCAGAAAAGTGTTAAATGCAGAGTCATCTTTCTGTAACAAACACATTCTGAGGATTCAATGAGTGTATTTGAAACTTGGATAAGAACTATTAAGTTCTGAATTATATATCTTTACTGCTGGCGTCAGTAATATAAAATGAATATAATCACCAAAGAGTTGTTCCGAAGTCAAGAAGACAATCAACAAAAGTGCATGAGAAATACTGCATTGCAAACATGTGTTCATGCCACAATATTTCAGAACATAATACCAGTTTCAGTTGTATTGCGATGGAATGTTCAAAACATTTGTGTTGAAGCTTTGCCTTCTATTGTGTATGAGGCTTAACAATTCCTTTTCACCAGACTTAAATTAAGCTTTTAAATGAATATATCCATAGACATAGCATAAAAGAAATAGGGGGAGGGTCTGCAACTACATTTATAAGCTCCCTTTTTCTATTAAACTTGATTTACATTGACATATTTTACAAGTAAATAAATAAACCATACTTCAACAAATTAAAGAAAGAATAAGAAATAAAATAAGTTAATAATAAACAAAACAAGACGAATGAAATAATAACTATGCAGTTATTGAAAACGATGGTATTAAACAGTTTACAGGGTTGCCAAAATAGCTTGCAGAACCTCTTACCCAAATATACAATAATTTCCCAAATTGTCAGATTAAAAAGGGGAAAATCAGAGATTGAAAATATTTACAGAAATGTTTTATTACATAAGGATATGGTCCCCTTTTATCCCCTGGGCGCATGCCTAAGATTACAACATTTGATTTCTTGTTGTGGTTGTTTTGCCATACTAACGGATTTTTTCATAAATATTACTAGTTACATTTAGTACTCTTATTAATAATCACTGGCTTGTTAGAACACGAATAGTCAGTTTGCTTTTGGTTTGAATTAATATTTAGAATGAGAAGGAAATTCTGGTATGTTGATTTAAATACTGCTCTGTAGAAAAATCTATAACTTAAATGATCTGAAGTAGCCAAAGAATGATGTATTCTCCTGTAATCTTATCCAGAATTGTTTACTATAGTACCTCTAATAGCTATAGCAAAATAGGATTCGATGTAGCATCTGTATGGATAAAATCTATCAGTGTTGATAAAAAGAATCCAACAGTAGTGAAGAGTGATATGGTTTGTTGTAGTTTTTACTTTGGGGTTATCCAAAATGTAAATTTTGATTGTTTGCGCATGGGTTTTTTGTTTTTTATTTACTATTTACACTTTTGAGTGGATGGAAAATGTGTATACTAGTGTTTTAAAAAGATACTTGTAAAATTCTTATGAATATTATCTTGTAATTTTTAATTTACTAGTTACATTTTCTTTATATTGTAGTTTTATAATAATAAAAATGGATTCTGCACATGAAATGGTGTTTGTAAATGTAATATCATTTATTTTTGTCCCTTAGGCTGAGAAAGATTTGCGAGTGGCACAGTCAGAGTTTGATCGCCAAGCTGAAATTACAAAATTGCTTCTTGAAGGAATTAGCAGTTCTCATGCCAGTCATTTACGTTGTTTACAAGAATTTGCTGAAACTCAAGTTCGATATCATGCTCAATGTCACCAAATTATGCAAGATTTGCAACGGGAACTTGGCAGGTATGTATTTTTGGGGTGACAAAATATATGGATGTAATGGAAGTAATGAAGATTCTTGTGGTGAATCTGACAAAAATTCATGAAATCTAAACTAATCATTAAAGCTATTAATGGAAATGTAATTTTTTTAAAACCATTTAACTTTGGTCCTAAGGATCCTGGCTGTGTCTGTGTCTTTACAAAATGTATCTTCATGTAGTAACCTATAATGTCTCTTTTATGGCTACTATTCAATTTAAAAAAATTACTCAACAAGGAAATGTTTTGTTATTGTTGGCCAATGTGCTGTTTGTCTTTGCATGATTGTGCTTTAAAATGTGGTATTGCATCTATAGTACTCTACAAATGCATTTTCTTTTGTTGTTCTTTTTTGTGATATTTTGTTTTGAGAATGTTTTTTTGTTTTCGTATTTTCTGGGAGTTAATATTTTTGTGGGTCCTTAGTGGGTGCCTATGATGTGATGATTTTTATACTCTTACTTGTTTCAGCAGTACTCAGTCTGCCTGTGACTCTGCTTCTGCCCCCGCCCCTATGTTACGTGTTAACAGCGAGGAAGTGGACCTCACCACTCCTATCATGTCCCCTGTCCAAGACTTGCAGTTCACTATCTCTGACTAATGTTACATTCTTCCTTCCTTTTCTGTCTTTCTTCCTCTGTGTTCTGTGTTTCCAATGCCAGTGCATGCATTACACACAATTGACAATATTTCTGTGTAGTTTGGATTAGTCTCTCGTATAAGTAGAGGAAACTCTTCGTAGAAATCCTGTAAAAATAAAAAGGTTCCCTTTTATCACCAAGTAATTATTCAATAACTCTTCAACCGTTGAGACTGATTTTGTTCTTGATATTTCTGAAAGCCTCATATCTCTCTCTTGAATTATCTGTTAGAAAAATGAATTTTCATAATTTTTCACTGAAGCTTGTAATTGAATGGAGAATTTATCGAAGTATTTCTCAAATTTCATAAATTATATATCATATTAAACAATATCAGTCACGAGATAAAAAACCTTTAAAACATTTCTTGAATCTACATATGTGTTTTTTTAGTGTTCTTGTAATTAACATGTACATATATATTACTAACCTACCTTCTATCATAATGATGGTTTTATTGTTAGCAAAATTTCTCAAGGCCATTCATTCTACATTTTTGAATCTTTTCTATAAATACAGTTCTTAAAGAGACTTGTGCATATTTGGTGTATAATAATTTTAAGTTTTCGGTCTAATAAGTGTAGTGTTCTGAAAATAGTTGTGTGGAATTGTACAACAATATTCATGTTAGTTTTGTGGTGAAATTGGTATTCTGATAATTAAGTATTGCATAACCTTAGTTAAGTAATTAATTTCCATTGGTAATTGATCTTATCACTGAAGTAATATAGAGTAGAATCCCTCATATTTGACCTTGGGATGTCCAATATGCTTTCTCTTTTTATCCCATTGAATTCTCAATTCCTAATTGATATTGGCCCTTGTGCACTGGTGTATTTCTTCAATATAATAAAGGGTAGTTTATATTGTACATATTATGTACTGTGTGTATCAAAACACATTATAATCAATGTAAATATTACTAAATTGTAGTATGTATATATTCATTTATTTGTGATTTTTATTAAGTTTTTATTGTTCACTAATTATCCAAATATTATGTCCTCCTTAGGTCTTGAGGGGTTCTACTACAATGTGGCAAATAACAAAGTATGGATTGGGAGGCTAGTTAAAACTTTGTACTGATGGATTAGTTAAATGATATAAATACATGTTAAAAACTGCTTCTTTTTTAAAAAAAGTTGATGGTTTTGCATTTTAATAAGTGATCTAGAAGTAACATTCAGAATACGTATGTATTGGATTGAAAAGATCTTTAACTGAGTAGCTGTACAATGTTAATATAGAATGTGCCTCTGAAAAGGTCCATATTAAGTAGAAAATAGTTGTTATGTAGCTTAGACTTCGTGGATTTAGCAATTGAAAATATATCAAAATTATGAGCAGAAAAGTGTTATTTTGAGACTTCCCACTTTAATACATAGCTAATGACTAAATGAAATTAACATTTATGTTTTTGTAATTTAATTTATCAATTTAATTTGTACATTTTTGCATAAAGCCTGCAGTAGACTAAAATTTCATGCATCCTGCCCTACTTTAGTTAGATTATGAAGTTGATTAATAAATCCAGTAAGCCATCAGTTTTTGTTCTACCTCATAAGCGATTTGCAGCAACTGGCTACCCATGTTTCCACAAGCATTTTGCAATAGAATGGAATATTTTGTTACAACCTTGTTCATTTTAAGTGGCAGTTTGTTTTGCTGTGTTTGCTTGGTTCAGTCTTTCCTTGACGACGCCTGGAGCCGCTCCTTACCAGCCTCTTGTCCCTCAATCAACTGACAGTGGGACAACTGTACAGAATGGTCTTCAGAGAGCTCGTGTGCTATGTGATTATGATGCTAAAGATGCTACAGAACTCAGTTTGATGGTTGACGAGGTACTTAAAAAACTCTTTATAGCATTGATTTTTTTAATATATTTCTGTATTAAACCTTACACTCATGTGTATTTTCAGGTTATTCTTGTTCATGAAATCTCTGAAGATGAACAAGATTACCTTATGGGGGAAAGAGGAAACCAGAAAGGCAAAGTACCCAAAGCATTTCTTGAAATGCTTGCTTTTTGAAGTGCACTTTACAAATTACTCATCTGAACGTCTTCATTGTTACATTACACAGATTGATGACAATAGTCATGTTATAGTAGTGGGTAGTAGATATAATATTCGTGAAAACTCTTTTATCATTGATTTATTGCCACTAAATGTGGTAAAATATATTGACTTTCGAGTTTTAATTTTTGAAAGTTAATTCACAAAACGTTCCAATAGTATTTAACTCACAGTAATTGAACTTTCCATTCAAAAGTTTTGAATGGAGTAAGGAAGGTCTCTGTTATTGCTAACATACTGAAGAAAATTGAGGAAATGTGCTGTAAAGCAATAAATTATCTAACATAACCATGCATTCATAGTTTGATGCATATAATAGAATATTATTTTGTACTTGTAAAGCAAATGGAAATTTGCCTCAAATTTCTTCGAAAAGAGTGTAGTTTTATTTTCTCTTCTATAAAATATGGTTCATTATGAGAATCTTTATGAACAGTGATAAAATTAATTGAAGATATGACTGTAGATCCCATAAAACTTTCACCTTCATTCCTGGGTACAGCTGTCTTGCCAAAAACCATTTTCTGTTAATATTTTGTTGCAAGGATGTGTGTGCACAGTTACTTGGATATTTTGTATGTTGCACTTCAGTTTTGAGGGTCCATTATTTGATCTTATTCTGTGTTAAATATTCTACTAATTGGAATGTGATTGCCTGATCTTTCATTTTCGGTGATATTGAACAAGAACTTGTAATAATATTTATCATTGTGGTTTTCTTTGGTCAATAATTGATTTTTTTTGCTATAATGATACAATTGTAACAATGTTCCCAGCTGAAGCACATTTGTAAGCGAGAGTTGTACAATGTGACTAAAGCAGTTACATAGAATCTATTAACCTAGGAATGCTGTACCTCTTGCTAAATAGAGGGAGAAAGGTTAGATAATTTGTGAGGACATCCAGAATTTCTTTTCAGTTTATCTTGTATTTTGTATGCAATGAAATACTGAAAGTGATTGCAATCTCTGGGGTTATTCCTCAGTTAGAATTTATCTTATTCTTCAACATTATAAAAACGAAATGTATGAAAAATGCAGAAATGAAATTTGTAAAGTTTTGAATCCCTTATGAAATCAACAAACTTTCTTATAAGTAGGAACTTTAAGCAATACTAGCATACATCAAACTCAACCTTGTGTTATTGCGCAGTTTGTGTTGCACTTGGCAAAGACGCTCAAAACCCGTGAAGAGTGGTAGAAATATTGCTGTTGATTGCTGTATGGTACTCTGTGCTTAAAGTTCCTAAGAAACTATATTGATGAATTGGAAATTCAGTATTTCTTTGCTGATACTATGCACCTTTATTTAAGATAATGTAAGAGTGAAAAAAAAAAAAAAAGCCACAAATTGTGCAGATCAATGCAAGGTTGTATATTTTAATTGCATTATTAGACGAATTAGAGTGCTAGTCGTTCAGAAATGATGACGGATTCATGATATATTGTGAAGTGGTTTATATTTACATTTATATGGAGATTTTTTCATGAAGACATTCAATATATCTATTTATTATTAATTTTATAAATATAAATATTTTTGTTTTTTAATTTTTGTATGTATTTGAATAGTTGACCTTTTTGTAATACATTCATTTCTTTGTTGTTGTTTTTTTTTTTTTTAATGAATTCCTGATAGATTGTAAATAAAGAGTTTATATTTGATGTAGGGTTGTAGTTCATATTGAAACATGGTATGTGTGGATGATGAGTAGGTTGTAATAATTGAATAGGCATAAATGACTTGTGATACTTATCCTTATGACTAGTTACATTTTATGACAGGTTGATATTAACTGATATTTTCCTTCATAGAGGAAATATGTGACTAGAAATTTTAGTTAAATATATTTCTGAGCACTTTGGAAATCTTTCAGTCAACAAAAAGCTTTTTGATGTTGACAAAGTTAGTTATGCCATTTAAAATTTGTAAGGAATGACATTTAATAATATTTTTTACTGGTGCTTGTCTTCATTTACTAGTTTTTTCTGATATTTCACTCATAAAATGTATTTTTACTTTTGTTATTATATTCTTTTGTATTTTGAATGTGTGTGTTCATCAGTTTTCAATTGGTAATCTGTTTATTAAATTTATCTTTTAAGGTTGTATTGAGCAGCTATAATTTCCATGCACACATTTTATATTGTTAGATTAAAAAAATTGTTTATCTATTATTAGCACAAGGTTCAAAAGAAATATTTTAATGTTACACTTCTTTTTTTCCTGTTCTGAATTATTTTAATTCTAGTTCCACTGTTTCAGCTGTTAGATATAGTTCCAAGGATGCTTCTGTGATTTGGGTAAATCACAGGAAGCTGTAACTTCCTGAGATGCTACATTGTATGATCACAGGAAGTTCACTGATAGCTTATTGCCTCTGTGATGTATCTTAATGCAGTGTGGGGTCTTGTGTATATGCATAATGGCACATTTAGGGTTTCTCTTGAAAGTTGTTTTACTGTCCTGTGGTTTTCCAACTGTTATTGGAGGAACAGTGGAATTTTTATCATTTGTAAATTGTTCTTATAAAGGTTGGTCATGTATTCATCAACCAAATAATTTTATTGATTTACTATACCAATGTTTTGAGGATACAAGCTGGGTAAGTGTGAAAGTACTGTATGTGTGTTTTTTATTTGTAATTTTTATCATTTTATTTTTTACAGTGTTATATTTATTATTGTAGCATGTTGTTATTGGAGAAACACCATTGAATCTTCCACAAAAAATGAAAAGCCTGACAATACAAAATTGTAAAAATGTTCAATTGTCTTTTACATTTAATTTCACAACTGATGGTTCCATCTCCACAACTCTTGCTCTCAAGAATATAGTGAATGTTACCCTATTGCCAAGTCTTGAAGAAGTGATATTGCCTAGACGACTGATCTTGGAACATATTTGTCTTATTAAATCCATAAGAAGTTACTCATTCTCAAAAATTTGGGGATCAATAGTTTTGCACAATATAACAATAGATCACCTGGAAACTGACAGTTTCATTCATTTAGTTATTGAGGAAAGTATGAAATGGGATAATGTACGGATCAAAGTTCTTGATACAAATGCTCTCAATGATATTGGAGCTTCAGAATTTACAATTTCTAATTCATATATAGGAATTTTTGAGCTACTGAGTTTCCAAGTTAGAAGTAAAAAGGTAAGTGAATGGAAATGTGCATATGGTTTAGAGTGAGACAGTAGTATTTATTTTTTATTTTCCTTTCAGGTGATAATAGAAAACAGTAGAATTGATGACATACGTTTTAATGCCATAATTGTTTTGGCTGATGTGTTCCATCTTGTGAATAATACTGGATTTAATGTAGTAATGCCAAATGCATTTAATATTCTTGCTCGTGAAGTCATAATAAATGAAAACAATTTCACATATCTGCAGACAGAAGCATTGGAGCGGATAGGTCCAACACTGATGGAAGAAGACTTGGGGGATAAAGTGATATATTCTTTTCAAAACAATTATATTGGGATTGCAGATATTGGATCTCTACATGTTAGTTTATTGGACTACATACAAAGTGGGGCTGTGATGCTCATAGGAAATAACACTTTCTCATGTTCTTGCACACACTTAGGATGGTTGGGCTTACCAGCCCCTCGTGATCATCATTATAAAGAGTTGTACGAGTTTCATGAAAGACTTCTTTCTTCAGAAGAGAACAACACTTGCAGTGGGGTTCCATGTTTCTTGCCAATCAGTATCTTGCGAGATCTAGTAAAAGTTCAGACAGTTTGTGCCGTTAATCTTACAGGAGCAGAATTATGTGCCATGTTTCCACCCGCAACTTCAACACCAGGCATTGCCAGTGCATCTGAACTTTCACCTTCTAGAATACTAACTGTCTTGGTTTCTACATGTATATTTTTCTGGTTAGTGTGATAAAATTTAAATTATTTAAATTTGATTTATTCAGTGAAAAGTTTATGTAGGTTAGATGTGAAGTTTGAAAAAAGCTACTGAATAGGATACTCCTTCTGTGTTCAAATGGTTGTAAATCAAATAAACATACCTATTGGATGTTCAGTATTGCTCATAGAGGGAGATTTATTTATTTTATTGTGTAACAATGTTTTGGGCATGTACTGTACTCCTAGAATTAATTGAAAATGAGCAGTTATTTATTGGCTTGTTCTTCTGAAGAAGTAAGACTCAATTTTAATGGTTATACAATTATTTGTCTTGAATAAATAATTTTTGAAATTGTTAATTTGTTCGGAATACTCATTGAAATTGCTTAATATACCAATTTACCATGATGGTTGTACTCGATTATAAGAACATTTTTGTATTTTTCACCACACTGGACACTTTCAGTGGTTTTGTAATTTTTCCTTCTCTTGAATATATTATCTCGTAATTACTAACTGCATAATTTTAGAAAAATACTCCAAAACAAGTTAAACTTTGAAATAATACATTTATTTTTCCTTTAATTTCCTTGAATACATTGTTTTAAGTCTGCTGTCTTTCTCAGAGATAAAAAAATATTTAACTGCATTTACCAATTGCAACTAATTTTAACTTTCTCTTCTTACAAAGAAAGGGCAAGAAAGTATTGTAATTGTGCATCGGAAAAAGTGAATTTTCGACCAAAAAATCCTTATTGCGAAGTCCTGGAAACAAAAAAATGGATAAATCTTGTTCCTGTATATAGTGCTTACACTAAGAAGTTGTGTGGTCACAATCCATGTTTTGTGGGTCCTTGATATTAAAAAATCGATTGTCTGTCCATCAGTTCGTGTGTGGTTAAAGCTAGCGCCAAAACAGTTCTGCCGATTTTTCCCTCTCGTTAATAGTCCTCAAGCAATTTAAAGGAACCCCTCTTCCGATTTTGAAAAGTATGTTTTGATTTTTACTTATACTTTACATGAAATCACACTGTATTAAAAATTTCCTCAAAATGTGGTTCCAATTGTTTTCATTCATCTTTGTTCTTCTTGGTTAGCGAAAAGTACGCAGAAGAGAATAGTGCAGGTCTCATTTTTGTTGAAAATGTTAATTTTTCGAAAATAGCAAAAGTTCAATTTTTTCCCCTGTCTTCTTACAACTACAATACTGGCAATAAATTTTTTTCTTAAATAAAACTGGTCTTTAAAGTTAATCTTGAAATTACATGATGTTCAATTTTTTGAAAATATGAGTAGTTTTTTTAATCTTGCGCAAAATATAAGCAAAAATTAAACGCAATTTTTTCTCAAAAACTACTCCAAATCTTTTCTTTAAATTCTCTCCTTATATGTATCACGGTATGGAAAAACATATGGTAGTAGTCCCATTTCTTGTGAGCACTGTATTTTTGAAAAATGCAAAAAAAGTTAACATTTCAAAAATTCAAAGTTGAAAATAGAAACTTTTGCCTTAAACAAAATCTGTTCTAAGAAATCATCTTTAAAAAAGTCATGTAGAATTTCTTGAAAAAATGAGTAGTTTTTGACTAATTTCTACTTGAAATTAATGCAATTTTTCAAAAACCCATTTTCTCTAGTTCTAAATTTTTTTGAGTATTAAAACATTTTACATGCAGAAACAACAGATGCTTTAAAGAATGGGGTGTACCATTCTTTGCACGGATCTCATTTTCTTTAAATACTTTGAATTTTTGAAAATGCAAATTTAGAAATAATGGAGAAAGTGTGCTGTTTTAGCTCCTAGTTTCTATGAATTTTGAAGTTCATAGTTTTACAGATCACCTGCATTTGGTGGGTATCAAAGGTGTAAAGCTTGAGAAAATTGGGAGAGTTCCTATAAACATTTGTTACATTTCAATATAATCAAATGGATGAATATAGCAAAAGTAGTTAATTTTATTACATATTGAAAATGGTTGTGCATTTTTTGAAGTGAAGCACTGATTGATACTAAGTTATTAACTCCTGGTCAAAATAATTATTGTTACAGTTGGAAAAAGATAAGTATTTTTGAAATGTATATGCAATTAGCAACTCTTACTTTCAGTGAATGGAGTTTCATTTTGGAGATCTTCAACATTCTAGCATTACTAGTCATACTAAGATAATTATTTTAGGCTAGTTAATCTGTCATGTCTACTTTTACATTCCTCTTGACCCCACTGAGGGCCTGAAATCAATTGCTAATATTTGGAACATTGAAAAAGAAATGTGTGAAATTTGAGAGAGAAAGAGATAATGGAAGTGGATTTCAACAAAATTGAAATTTATTTTTTTTCTGGGGCTTGTTTCTGGTCATGTGCACTTTTATCTGAAAACATGTTTGTTAGAAAACCTAAGTAAGGAAAGTAAAGCTTTCCAATTTATATAAAATAATTTTGTTCCAGGTAGTAAAGCCTAGTTATTGCAACATTTCTTTTAGTAAGACAAGCAATTTAAATTGATTCTTATAAGTTATTTATAATATTACATTTGAACATTAAATCAGATCCATTGATACTTAAGTACTGATTAAAGTGATCATTTAGCACTTGAACATGTGCTTTTTTCATGATTTAAAATAAATGAATGGTCATTTACCACCACCATAATTTCAATACTAAAATCAATAGGGGGCTCAAACTTACAATGGCTAAACAGTGTTTCCGAGTTCTAATGTACTTTATGGATTTCCACTACAGTGAGTTTGGCCTTGTTAAAAGTTAGGTATCTGCCCCAAACAACAGTTTCAAAATTGTGTAAATGTTTTATCATATTAATTTGAGTATTAACATCTACAGTGCAACAGTTTTTTTTCCTGCTCTTGCTCGATATTTAAATAATCTGATGGTTTAGTCTACAGCTGCATTTATTGTTGCTTCTGGACCAGTAAATAATACTTTCAGCTTTTGAAGCTTGGAATTATAATAGTACAATGTTTCTTTCCATTATCATGCTAATTTCTTTTTATCTACATAGTCACCAGCATTAGAAATACCTAATTTAGAGACATTAAAAATATAACACTTTTAACTCTGCAGCATGTATTGAAGTGTTATGTTTTTCAATGATGAAGTGTTTCTTGTGCTAGTGAACATATAGTGTCAAGTTTTTGGTTTTTCAGTTTTATATGTACATGAAACTTATCTTCACAATAAATTATTAAAATTTGGACCGGAGGTAGGTTATCTCCCCATATGACTTATAATTAATTTGTCATCAATAGTAAAATTTAATAACCATTGCCAACCTTGTGCACAAGGTTGCTAAAGTACATGTGCAGTAGTATAACGTAAGATGTGTTGTAATCGTACGACAGAAAACTGCGAATTTCCGACACAAAAATTCTTATTGCAAGGCCCTGGTAAGGAAAAGATGGATAAATTGAAGTTGATCAAAATTGTATGCGTCCTTCATATGGAAAAATTAACTAATGGCAAAACGATTACCTGTCTGTCCGTGAACAATGCTAGCGCAGAAACCACCAATTTTTCCAAAACTGATACTCCCCAATTGTTCTAGTTGATGCCATGGATTCTGGGATTTGAATACGATATTTTAATTTTGGGAGGTACTTTACATGAGCCCCCTGGGATATTAAAAATAAGCTCCATTTTTTTAAAATGTTGAATATTGCAAATATGTTTAAGAGAATGGTGCAGGGTTCATTTTTGTTGACATGTCCAGTTTTGAAAATTGGAAACTTTTTTAAACTTCAAAATTTGAGACAAAAATATCTTTGTCTGTTGTACAGAATTGGACCTTCAGAAAATATGAACAATTTTTTTGAAAAAAAAAAAAAACAAAAAAAAAACCGGGTATTTTGCATCATTTACAGAGAGCTCAAAAACCTTTCAAATTTTTCCACATGTGTAATTAAGAAACAGGGTGCTAGTCATTTTCAGTTTTTTTCCTCCCTTCCATAATTGCAAAAACTTTTCAAAATTGAAGATAGATTTTTGCTTCAGTGTTGTTCACAGCTCTTCAGAAAAGGTCATGTATAATTTTTTGACTAAACTAGTATTCCATAATTTCTGCTCGACAATGAAATAAACAGGTTTCACACAAACTAAGGGCCACCTTCCATTTGTGTCAAAAATGGTGCTTTTAGGAATTTATAGAAAACGTGCCCATCATTGGCAGCACTCATGGCTGCATGTATGCTTTGCTTGAGCTCATTGAGAGAAGTGTTGATATAGAAAAATGCAGTATATCACATAACCATTACTAAAGGGCAAGAAAGATTGTTTTAGCACCAGTTCTAGTTTGCTAGAGATGTTGATTTGTTACTTTTGTGCAATTTTGAGTGTTGTGTTGAATTGACACAGAGAAAATTTGTACAGTGTTCTGATGCCGTCAAAGTAACTGAACTTAATTTGTTACCACACATGCAATGCTAAACTGATTTCTTTTTGCAGTGTGAGGAAATATCACCATTACAAGCAAGAAATGAAATCTTGAAACTGGATGATCAAAATCCAGAATTTTCTCATCTCTTTACGAACAGGATAATTATTAAAAAAGTCTAAAACAGGCTTTAGCCAGGGAAAAAAAATTGAGACTTCCAAAAATATTCCTTTTTTTTTTGAAAATTTATTCCGAACAGGGAACAATTAAATACATATTCATGGGACGCAGTTTATTTCTTCTTAGACACACCAACAGTTCTTCCTCTACGTCCAGTGGTCTTTGTGTGTTGACCTCTCACACGCAGACTGAAACAAAACAAAATTCCACATAATAACTCGAATGTCAAACCACGCATACGATAACATTAGGCAAAGAAACTATTACACACCCCCAGTAGTGACGCATTCCCCTGTGAGCTCTGATCTTCTTCAATCGCTCAAGGTCTTCACGAAGCTTGCCTTCCAAGTTAGCAGCTGTCAACTACAATGGATCCAACATCAGCAGTTAATAAATTTAAAATACTTAATTCTGTGTCCTCAAAACAACATTCAAAAGCAAGTCCTTCGTCTCAGAGGAATCTAACCTACCTGTGAGTATTTGCCATCAACAATGTCCTTTTGTCTGTTTAGGAACCAATCGGGAATTTTGTATTGCCGTGGATTTGACATAATAGTCACAATCCTCTCCACCTGAAATTACAAATTTTTAATTTTATTTCTAACATAAAGAGACCACAAACTAAATTTAATGGTGTTTGGGTAAAGGGCGTTGTCATTTTCTGTGAAAATTATGGTGTACTGCTAAGTGTCATCAAGATATGCAACATTACAAATTATTAAAAAAGTATTGGGTTTAATATTTATGGAAAATTCCTCTGCTTTACAATGGCAAGAAATGTAATTTCCACCTATATACAAATAGTTATGAATGAATTTTAATTCATATTCGAAGATTCTCCTTTTGGGATGAAATTTTCTATATTTATGAAACTTATGAAAAATATTTGCTTTGGCACACTGAAGGTACCAAATAGCTATGTCGTGTGTCTAATGAAGCATTGCTATATAGCCATTCCCTTCACTGGAGAAAATTAAGGTTAATGAAAGAATGACTTCTGATTATTTAAGAGAACTTCCATACTAATTCAGTTCAGCGGTTGGCTGATGTCGGTTAACTCTGCCCTTAAGGATCAGAGTATTGATAAAACAAAACAAGAAAACCTCCATAGGTTACAGGTAATGAATCTTGTGATTAGAGCCACAGGTGCATACACTTTTTCAAACATTTATTATTCCAGTAAGTTTTCTGCATCCTTATGTAACAAGCTTTTCACAGTTTATATACTAACCTCCTCTTCAGTACATTCACCAGCACGCTTATCCAAATCAATATCTGCCTTCTTCAAAACAATGTTTGCATAACGACGGCCGACTCCCTTAATTGCAGTCATGGCAAACATTACTTTACGTTTGCCATCAATATTCGTGTTCATAACACGAAGAATGTGTTGAAATTTTTCTGGAATTACTAACGACTGAAAAATGAAGCAAGATTATAAATTGATTAATTCACAGGAAACCATTACAAACATTTCTATTAACTTATGACCCATTGTTAGGGAAACTTGTCTAATTCTGCAATTTCATTATTTTGACGCAGCATTTCTTCATGCAACTGGCACTAGAAAAATTCCCAGCTGTTCACAAAAATCCTCCCAGATTTACTCATAGCTAAGCATTAACTGGAGATTTCATTCACTGCTAACGTTTTAAACATGTTGAAACAGAATTAATCTTTTATAGATCTAATGCTGGGTGTATTTAACACACTAATCGCTAATCTAGTAGCTTGGCCTATTCAATGAAATGTCAGTCGACATCTTTTTTAACCTTTGACCATTTAAATGATTTTGAATTTAACAATTTCCGTATTACAATTTTATACCTCAAATTTGAGTCTTTAAATTAAATCCTTTTTCCTTCCAACAATTGTACTAGAGAAAATCTAAACGGCAATGAATCTTACTTTTAATAATTAGCTATATAGACAATTCTTGCTCGACATAATTTAGATCAATGTTCTAACAAATTAGATATATATTGAAAATACACCAAACTCTGGTATTACTATTTCACCTGATACTCTTCCCTTCACATGTTTGGCATTATGTGACAATTCGTACAATCTTTTCTATACACCCAACAAACCCTATCAATTTAATTTAATCTTCCCACACTATCTACCATTTTGATTATTGTCAGCAACAAGTATAGCAATGAACCTAGAGAAGGACTGTCCCCAAAGCCTGCTAATAAAGAAATCAGCATACTCTGGAGTTACTATTGCACATGCTACCGACAATCTACACAGTAAATGTAAATAGCCGTTTCAATGTGCTCCATTTTCCTTTGCATGTCTGGCATGTTTTGGGAATTCACACACTATTCTACCATGTAACCTGGTACAATACTAATCACATGTGTACCTGCAAAAGTATCTTTTGGCACATATGTGCCGCCGTAGACACCCGGCTAATATAGACTTATGATAGCACTATTAAATAAATGTTCAGGTTAAAAACAACTTGCTTTCAGGTCTAACAAATGGAGGGAAGGATGCAATTTAGAGACTTTTTTTTTACTTGAAATTAAAATGTTAAAAATTAAACTCTGCGTTAGTAATATTGTCAGGAATACACGGGAAGCCTTGGTACATCAAATTAGTTTCGTCCATATTAATTTCCAGCAACAAATGCCTTGGAAGCGACCTCAAAAGCATGTATTGCACTTTAAGAATAACGCACAAGACAAAAGAATTCATTCATGAATTTTGTAGCTGTACTTCAACAAAGTATATTGCAGTTCCAAAAACTTTATAAATACATATTTTCTTAACTAATACAGGTGTCTAAAAAGAAAAGCATGTACGAAATATGTGAAAACCCAAATTACGTACATACGTAATGCGATATTGACATGCAAAGGCTAGTATAATAAAAAAATTATATACAAAGTAACAAAAATATTAAAATAGAATAGGATGCTATTGATACAAAAGCGATATTACATACCATCTTCAACACTGATATTCCTCACAGTGAACACACGCACACTAACATGGACCAGAAAAGAAACCACCAGGAACCAAGGAAAGGAAAAGGAAACGAAGGACACTACTATAATCAAAACCACTACTTTCGATAAGAGAATTTCATTAATATGTACAAATATTGAACTAAAATTAAATTTAATGCGTACAATTATATTTACTTTGCTTTTTATTAGATTTGTTTCAATTCAATATGTTTAGGGTCCTGTATAATCCATCAGTTTTTCAAACTTGCAACTAGATGGCTCTACTAAGAACGTTCATCTTTGGAATATATTCTGTATTTCTCCATGGTTGGTCAAGGCATGATGTAAATAATGATGTTAACCATAACCATACATGATTCGATTCAAGAATGATTATGATAGACCATTATTTTATATACTTCATGGTCACAGGCATTCTCTTTCCGTCATGCGTGACCCATGCTGGTCCCGTGAACGCCAATGAGTAGTAATGTTCAGTGTGTTATTTGTCTAAGAAAAATAATTGATAAACCAAATTTGTAGAGAATTGTATGTCCTTCGAAATTGTATATAACAATTTTTACACTAAGAACAACCATTAAAAAGTTATTATTGGCTTCCAAAACTTGTCCTGAAGTATTTCGAGGAGGAAAACGGAGGGTTTTCTCACTAATAATCAGAGGTGCGATTTCGGATCTTGGGGAGGGGTGCAAAGGGTCTCTCCATATAAGATGGTAAAAAGTTCTCTTAAACCAGATGGCATGAGTAGTTTCACTACAATTATAACCTGAACATAATATTTTTGAAAGATTTTTTATCCCCTGTCCCAGCACCCTCTTACACGCAGAAACGTTTTAAATTCAACTTAACACTATTTTATTTAATTGAAAAAATGTGAAAAATAGCAAAATAATTTATACCATCAAAAATATATTTTTTTAAATTTTCTCAGCAGTTTTAAAGAATTCCAAACTAAGATTTTCTCAAAAACAGCTCCAATTTTTTTCTTTAAACGTTTGATAGAAAGTGTGCTGAATGCACTCTACAAGTTGACCTAAGAGCTATATTGCTCTATTCTTTTTTTCTTTCAAAAATTACAAAAATGTATTTTTTATTTGTCTTTCACGTCGTTAATAATTAAATTAGCGGCAATTTGTTCACATTATTATATTTATGAATTCATGTGTTTTAAATACCGTTCATGTGTTTTTTACCGTTTTCTGTGAAAACTAGCTCAAAATTCCGCATTTTCAGAAACGACCAAACGCCATTTTCGCGAAAAACAAACAGCTTCAAATATTTTCTTCAAACTTTTCGAAAGGATAGTGCCTAATTGCACTCTTTAATATGGGGGTAAAGTTCATTTCAGGGTATTTTTTCCCCAAAATTAAACAAATGTAATTTTTTAAAAATATCTCTCACTCCGGTAATATTCCCATTTCCAACAATTTGTAAACACTATTGTATTTGTGAGTTAATGTGCTTCAAATGACGTTTTTCGAACACTCAAAACTTTTCTGAGCTTCAAATTTCAAATGTACGCTTTAATTTCAAATTTCGCTTAAGCGCCATTTAAAAAAAAAAAAATGGCTCAAAATGTTTGAAAGAAAATTGCCATATAGGGTGAGGTTTTACTGTTCTTTAATATTAATAAAATAATATTTATATTCTACTACTAAGAATCTAAAAAATTAAGGGAAAAAAGGCTAGCTAGCTGAGGTCCATAGGAAATAGAGAACTAATACGGGAAAGTCTGTGCCATTCTGTAGCACCACTAGTTTACTTTCCTGTATATGTACGCATATACGGAGTACTTTACGGAGTATAGGGAAAATTATGTAATGCTATGGAAATTCAATTTCGAGACTTCAACGGAAATTCACGTTTTGGGGTCCCCTGATACTGAAAAAAGTACTTTTTTCAAAACGTCCGTCTGTCTGTCCATCTGTCCATCCGTATACGAGCCCCACTAGCGCCTAAACCTTCCGTAGGACTTTTTCCAAATTGAAGACACTCGTGTCCATCTCGCTCGAGTCGAAGCTTTGAGATTTTGAAAAAAACTTCTTTAAAATTGGGGGGTACTTCACCTGAAGTCCCTCGGACATTATTCTCAAAAGCGACTCCAAATTTTTTCCTTTACATTTCTTGTATGAATATAATAAAATACGCTTATAAAGGTGGCATAGGTCCGATTATCTCGTTTAACTCTGAACTTCGAAAATTGCAAAAGTGTGAATTTTTTTTTCGCGTCTACCTATAAGTACAAAATTGAATATAGAGATTATTCCTCCAAATAAAGTTCGTTCTCCATATTCAGTTCCTTCAATAATATCATGGACATTTTTTTGAACATTGTAGTAGTTTTCGAATAATATTGCGTGCAATATTTTAAAAATCCCCCCCCCAAAAGTACAAGGTTTTACTATTCATTAATATTCTTAAAATAATACTTCCGTTCTATCATTAGGAAACCAAAAAATTAAGAAAATAGAAAAAATGTTCTTTGGGCGGCGACAGATGGTAGCTGGCAAGTCCTAATAACTAGTCGAGGCCAAAGGAAATAGAAAACTAATACGGGAGATTCTGTGCCTTTCTGTAGCACTATTAGTTAATATATCTGTGATATGCAGTGAAGTATATTATGATTATATGTGATAATGCAGTGAAGCTAAGAATGTGTCTGAAAGCAAGAGTTTTTATTGATTATCAATGTGATAATCAATAAAAACTCAAACAACCACAAATCTTTCGAGGATGTTATTCTTTGTAATATCTAGGCAGAAACTTGGGCCTTAAAATAGCAGATTTATTTTGTGGCCAAGCCAATGAAATGTTTCTCCTGTAAGTAAATGCGCAGTTGGTTCTCGTTGAAAATAGTGCTCCTATTCCATGTGTTTCTCTTTCTTGATATGGGAATTGAAAATCGTTACAAGTTCTCCCTTTTCTTAACAATTTTATTGCAGCGTTCTTTTGCTAATTGGCTGAGGAATTTACAATTAGAAATATAACTTTTCCCTGTGTTTCTACATATAATTTTTTAAATTTTTCTCCCACAGTTCAGGCATTACAAGTCTTTTTTAAATTCTGTTTCTAAAACGTTTCAGCTTCAAACTATGCATCACGTGCTTCTAATTTGTCGGGCTCTTCTGTAATACTCTTTCCAATTTTATATGAATCAGATGACGAATATGTAAAGTTAGGATCCTCATCGGAGTTGTCCACATCTTTTTCATAATTTGAGCCCCCACCTGAAGAACTACAACCATTTGGTGAGTTTTCATGGACCATGAACCGGTAACCGTACTTTTACATAACATCATCATCATCATCATCATCATCAGCAACAAGGTTTGGGCCTAGTGGCCCGTTCCGCTCTCAAGAGCCTCTTTCCATCTTGTGTGGGGTCTGCCTCTGGAACTTTTACATAACTATTACTACTAATACTCTCAGATTCGGAAACAGTTATCCACTTTGAACATTCTTCAACCGCAACATATTTAGCTTTGTGGTTTTCAGTTTTATCTCAAACATTGTTTGACCCTGCATTTTCAGCCATGAAATATTCTTCTTGTATCTTATTCTTTGTAGTGTTTTGGTTCGTAGCCAACTGCACAATTTTCTCTGTTCTGGACAATGCCATACCCGTCCTGAAAGTGAAACATTAATGTAAGAAATTTGTCATGGTTACCTCTTTTACTAATTTTCTATAATGTGCACGACATGGATAAATCAATTTTAATCTTCAGTAATCAGGTCAATAATGACACAATTCAAAAATAAATCGCTACAACTCACAAATACCTATACCTGAAGAAGAAGTCGAAAAGAGACAAGGAGAATTGTATAATTTCATTACCTTGAATCTTGAAAATTGTCACAGCTCGAAAAGTGTCACTATTTCAACAAAAAAAGCAATGTATGGTGTAACCTCATAGTAGTAACTTCTTTGTGGGACTGTTCTTGGTTGTGAGAATCAAAATGACTGCCGACTGTACAACAATACAAATGTACCGATTAACCGAGACAGTCATTGGGAAAACAACAAAACTCATTGCAAAGCTGTCGAAGCAGTTAGATAGTTTAGTTGGGGCGTCACCAATTCACTAATCATTCACTCGCCAAACGTTGACCTTAGCGTTGTTCGTCGTGTCTCGTTTGGTATTGACACTCAATTTTAATCGTCCTTTATTGTCCACGGTAAACGTCATTATTCCATTTGTATTGTTTTATATGATTTGTATTTTAGCAGGGTACATAATTCTTTACCAAATATTAGTACTCGATCCTTATCAAATAAACAATGGATTATCAGTTTTCGTACCCGAGTTAATCTCAGACCCCTATGACCAGGAATACTAACTAACACGTCTATATACAAAATGAGATTTGTAAAGATGTAGAATGTTCCTGTTTTTGCGTAAAATATGCAAATACATTAAGTTGATAAATGTTTAACAAACATAGAATTACTTCCGTACATTGAACTTTACAAGATCATTTTTATATGAGTGATAATTAAGGATTTGTCGTAAATAAAAACAAGAAATTTTCATGCCTATAATACTAAAATGGTTAATTTCACCACAAAATCTTATGATAACTTTTTGTAGGAAATTGTATCTACTTTAATTTTATATTACACATAATTTTATTTGGGATTGATATTTTTGGAGATATATGCAAAAAAAGTAGAAACAACACAGTAGCATCAGAAGTACGGTGCCTGTGTTATTCTGTATCGTGTATAGTCTTTATCGCAATGCTTCTTCTGCACTTACAATGCCTGTGATTTCTATTCTCCGGTCAGATTTAATGACCTGCCTCATTAGTGGGCCATCTTAATGGCTGACTACATACTTTCTCATCCCGGTTATTGCATTGTTGTAGAAGGCTTCAATTTGCCTGAGGCCTCTTCTTCCTTCGTTACATGTCATGTTAAGTCAATGTACATCAACTCGACATTATTATTATTATTATTATTATTATTATTATTATTATTATTAATACTATTAAACCTCTAATTCACGACTAAAGATGTTATGAGTCAGTTGAATATAAAATATACTCCGGATTGCGACCAACTTTCTAAGAGCAGATCTAGGGACTGTCGGCGTACTTTGCGCAAAATGTGGGCTATTTCTATTTCCAGTAAAGCAGTGTCTTGCTCTTCCCAGTGTTTTGAATGACCTGAGAGTTTTGCCAAGTTCTCACACAAATTTAGTGGTACAAATTCCAGAAATCCGATAACTATTGAGACGAGCTCTGAGGCGTATCTAGGTATTGAACATAAAATCTGAGGCAACCATAGAATTTACCTCCCAGTCAGGACACTTCAAATTTGGGTTGTTGTGATTTGTTTAGCGGGTATTCTTTAAACAGCGCCTTTTTGATTGGCGTTCATGGCATGTGTCATGTCTACCATACCGCAAACACGCTTCTGCCATACCGCAAACACGCCTCTGTTACCTGTATTTATACACCCCACGTTCGCTTGATCTCGATTTCCAAACTCTTGAATTTAAGACGTCTCTCTGCCTCCTTGGTTACGAGGTTTTGATCGCAAGGCACAGCAATATCTATTAGTAATCAATAGTGCTGCTTGGAAAACAATTTTTCTACAACAGCAAATACTTTTTCACATTATTTGTAACTGCTGCGTTACTCGCATCACCTCGAACAGACAAGCAAGGATAATTTCACATATAATAAGATGGTTTCGAGAAAGTAAAAATGTCCAATGATGATGAGGAAAAGGATGACAAGGACAGTAATCACAAGTGGATCTATAGAAGGGCATGACATATATGACAAAAGAAGATAAATGTGAAGAAAGGGATGATGAAATAGAAAGAAAAACAAGAACACGAAATTTACCCGCGAGCGGGATTAGGATTTCGATCCCTCAAACAGAAATCCTGCTCGGGTGCCCAGTTTCTCCATGTTATATTGTTAGTGCTTAAGGGGGCGGCCCATGAGGGCACGGGTTGAGGTTCCGTGTTCACCAAGTCTGATCAACCCGTGCCCCCAGAAGGGCTCTGGCTTCGTGGTCGATACTCGTGGGTTCTTGAGGAGGAACTTGTCACAGTGCATATGAGTGGCGTTCAACGTCCCTGACAACCCGCCGACAATAGCTAGTATATAGCTATAGACAATAGCTAGTATAGCATCAAATTGGCAAGCTGACCCCACTCAGATAATGGTAGATGTTTTACCTGTTCCGGAGTATCCAGATACCAGGCGAACCGTGTATTTGTACATTTGTGAAAGGTGAAAAACAAGACGAAAAGGTCCAGATGCGCACCAGGAGACCTTAAACTCCCCTGGGAAAAACAAGTCTTTTCGAAGTAGAATACGCTGGCGGATTTTTCGACCCTTGGCGACTCGTCGACGAATGTCGGTGGTGTAGCGTAAATGGGACACAGACCGCGCGCGATCTTGCATTCCTCATCCTTGTTTCCTCCTTTTATATTCACGCTAAGGAATAGAGAGTAAGTTATGTAATGCTGCCCGAAAAAAAGTTGAATTTTCGGCAGAAAAACTCTTATAAGAGGGCCTTGGTAAAGAAAAAATAGATAAATCCAGTTGCTAAATATAAATAAAAGTCCTGGAGTTGGAATTCATGTCTTGTGAGCCCTTGATACCGAAAAATTGAATGACGGCAAAACATCTGTGTGTTTGTCCGCCTGTCTACCTGCCTGTCTGTCTATCTGTCCATCTATGACCAACGCTAGCGGCTAAACCGTTCAGCCAATTTTCTCCAAAATTGATATTCCCCAATCAATCTGACTGATGTCGCAGTCCTTTGAATTTGAAACCGACATTTTAATGTGAGTGGTACTTTCCATGAAGTACCTAGGACATATACAAAATTTAAAAAATGGCTCCATCATTTTTGATTAAATTTTGTTGGATAGTACGAAGGACGTTTAAGAGAATGATGCAGGTATCATGTTCGTTGAAAACCATGAATTTTCGAATATTTCAAACGTTCAAAATTTTTCGGCGTCTTCCTCCAACTAAAACATTAAAGATAGATATTTTTTCCCTGAATAAAATATGTTTCTTAAAAATAGATTTTCAAATAAAATCATACAAAATTTTTCGAAAATTGTGTACTTTTCGCGTAATTTTGCGTAAAAATACGGGCGAGAAAGTAATGCTGTTTTAGCACCACTAGTTCCTTCTTACACTCGTACACTTATCACTATCACACATATCGTACTATCATCACGCACTATCACACACATCAACAATTTAAAGCGTATTCCGGGGGCAGTGGCCAGGCGGGGAGATATCTAGAGAGGAAAACACCGTAAGCCGATGAATAGATGGCGCCGGAGCTCATGTTTAAGCGCGGGAAAGAACACAGTCTCCTCCCGGCTGTAACATTGCCTACACTTACGGACCAAGGCATTTGGCTCGCCTGAATAGTCTGTCACAGAAGTAAACTGGAAGGAGGTTTTTCCAAAAACGTGATGTTTTTATGGGAGGAAGTGGCTCGCGGCACCAAATGATGTCAATGCATTACCTCTGGTCGGCTCGTCATAGGGTTCGAGTCCCGACAATGGCAGAATTTTCGACACTAACCAGATAATGAAGTCAAATTCAGTTGCTGTCTAGAGGAGAATTTTAGCGGCCGGCTGCTCTGATTGGTAGTTTTCCGCGATTTCTCCTATCGACATCAGAGCTGTACTCTTCGATTCGATCTAGCTAGCAAGCCGGTGTCAAAAATCCTGCCTGCGTGGGGCCTCGAACCTAGGACCTCCTGGCCAAGGGACTGCAGTGACATCAGCTGATGACCCTCGGTAAAAGATCTTTTCCAGTGTAATACCGGCCAATGAAAGGGATGGGCCGCGGGCGGCGCGCCGCGCCGCCCGCCAAGCGTGGAGGGTCCGGAGCGGCCGGCCCGGAAGCACCGGAAGTGAGGGCGGAGAGCGGCGGAGCGTCTTCTCCCGCGCGGCGCGAGGGAGGGTGGGGGGCGCGGGTATAAGAGCGCGCCGGGGCGGCGTGACCCACTTCCGGCGCGAGCGTCTCTGAGCGAGAGCGGACTCGCACGCGGGCAGTAGCCGCAGCAGCAGTCGCCGTCGCCCCCGCCGCCAGGTATAACCGCCCGCGCCACCGCCGCGCGCCGCCAGTCTTCGCCTGACCCTCTCCATGCGCGGTCGAGGTCTCGCTCTGGGACTGCGCTCTCGGTGGTGACTCGGTGACGTCGTCGACGGTGACTCGGTGGTGACTTGGTGGCCGGTGAGCGCGCGCCTCCACAAGGAGCGAGATGGCGCCGCCTCCGCGGTGCTCGGTGATGGGGTCGATGGTGACGCTGCTGGTGATGGGGTGGAGCGCGTGCCAGGCGCAAGTGGCCGGGCTGACGCCGGCGGACACCGTGCACTCCGACTTCGGCGGATTGTCTCAGGTGAGTGCGACACAGTGTCCGTTTTTGACCATTTGCATTTGATTTTCGTATCGGGTTTTTAAACGTTTATGGTCATTTAGCCATTAAAAAAGAAAAAAAAGTATACAGAGGAAAATAATCAGTGTTTTAACCTTTACTAAAATTTTGGTAGAGACAGCTAATACCAGAAACTCTTACTTATAATAATTGTTCTAGAGGAAGGCGATTCAGTAAGCCTTAGAATTGTCTCTCGATCTACCAATCTGATAGTAATTAGGAGAGCGAATTGTGACTTTTAGACATTGATCTACCGTCAGTGGTAGAGAAAGTTCTTAAAGAATATTGTTTATTGAAGCGTTTATATTTGATACAATTTGTTTTGGAAATATATGAAAATATTTAGTAAAGCCATGTAATAAGACTGTTCCGAAGAGTTTTTGGTTTTTATATGTACTGAAAAATGTTTTATTTCTTTATCGTGCAATATTATCGAAGCATGAGTTTTTCATGCTTTCTGGTTTTGGAGTAGTTGACAAAATTTCAAGGGAAATTTACAAGTATAAATACTTGCCGTTAATGAATAGAGATTATTTACAGAGAGTGAATGAATAGAGAATATTATATATGTATTAGACACGACTTTTGAGATAGGAGGACTTGCATACATATTTTTTCAAAAACGGGACTTCGTCAATGTGAGGCAGCACATTACTAAAGACAGCTCATAAGAGCTAACTCTCTCCTTTTAGTTATAAGCCGATAGGGAAACAAATGATGTTAAGACGATTAATAACTAAACTAAGACTTTAAAACCTCTCGCAACTGAATAAAAGCTCATATGAATAAGCTTCGTGAATTCATTCAGTGGGAAATGTATTTTGTCAAATGTGTACTTACTTGTAATAAGATTTTTGAAAATCTCTCCTTGTTATTACTTACATATTTACTGGGTCTTCCAGGTATATTTTTGCAAACTCAAGATAAGTAGAAGGATCTGCTTAATTCGGTCTGATCATCTAGGATGATTATTCCTATCTTTTTAGGACCATGTAACTTCTTCTGGATTTGGTGGCTTTTTTGTCAAAAAAATGTTAATTCACAATGCAATCAACTTTTTATAATTTAATAATAAAATTTACAAACTATTTGTTGCAAATTTGAAAACACAATTTCTCATAGTATATATTCGGAAAGAATAATTTTTTTGTATTATTAATTATAGAACATATTCTTTTTAGTATACAGTCTCTTCAGAAAAAAAATCTTACATATATCTTAAGAATGTAGGGATAATTTTGTGTTAAGAGGGAAAGTAGGGGAACTGCGCGTTAGCGTCCTCGGGGTGACAGGGTAATTGAGGAGGGCAGCAATTGCGATGTGCACTCTACACTCGTGCCGAAACACGGGGGTCCCCGCTCGCGCCAGAGGAAGTCAGCGTGAGAGGCCTGCTCACGTGTGTGCGCAGTTCGAGTCAGCGACGCCAGTTAAGCGTGACCAGCAGCACGTGAGGTGTCACCCATCCCTCGGGCCGTGGATTTCCTAATTTATCTTTTCCTCACTAGAGTCAGTTGCAAGGACCACGAAGCCTCCCCGCTGTCATAAATGACGGACTGGGTTACGACGGTGCCCACGTCTTCCGGTTGATTGATTACTTAATTATTTCCTGTTTCCGGGCACGTCGTCTGCTATGGTCATTTGTCCCGTAGTTTAGAGCACGTTTTTCACTCGGGTGGTTGCAGTGATCTTCCCCCGATGAATGGCGAGATCCGGCGGTGACCTCAGTTGACGTGGTTTTTCTCATCCAGGTATTTCCCACCAGCAGCGTGGAACCGCCCGAGCCGGGACAAGCTCTAAGCTCGCGTCCGCCCTCCTTACATGTGTCGTAGTGCTGTGCATGTAAGTGTAAGTGTGAGTGTGGGGGAGGATAGGACAAGGAAGAAGCAGGAAAGACCGACAGCCACAACAGGCCTTCCGAGTGACACAACCAACGCACCCATGCTGAATACGAGTAAATTTCTGGTATCTTACCGTGATCGAACCCTCAGCTTGTCAAGCCTAAAGACGTTCTTTGAATAATAGTCGGCTTATATGTCTGGAACGGATTTTGAACGTATATCTACAGGAAACCATGCCTGCCAAGTTTTATGCTTCTGGACGTAATAGTGCTTTGTTTTGTAGTAAAAACATAAGATCGATTTTTATTCTTCTCTTCGTGTGTGCTTCAAATTGAAAATGATTTTTGTCATTTTAATATGTTATTGTTAATTATTAATTAAGAGTTTTATGTTTACATTTTGGTACAGTTAAATAAAAATATCTTCCATATGACGTATTAATTGTTTATATTTTTGTTTGAAAATACCAAAATGTAAACCCAAGTATCATACTCATATACGGGAAGAAAGGAAAGTATTTTCTCTAATACAATGAACCTGGGATCCGCTAAAAAATGAAAACTTGGCTCAAAAGGGTTCTTTCACATAGTCTTTCAAAATACTGCACGTTCAAAATCTTGATGTAAACACTGCTGTAGACTTTATCTTTTGAATTATTAATTTTTACTGGTACATCAACTCCTCTGGTTACTAGTTCTGTTAGTTTGTCTAATCCCCAGGGGAGGGGGGTAATCCTCCCCGCTGACATCTGGCACCGACCTTCAAGTCAGCGTGCGGGGAATTCTTTCTATAGGTATCTCCTCTAGCGAGGTACCGCCCCAGCCAGGAAAAGCTCTAAGCTCCCCATTAGTCTCCCGCCGACATGTGTTGTGCATGAAAGTACAAATGTGTGAGTGTGTATGTGTGTGTAAAGGGAGAGGAGGGAAGAAAGAAAAGGCAGGAAATATCTCACGAGGTTCGTGGCCTTTTTGTTAGGGTAATGCTCCGGCATTTGCCTAGGAGTCATTGGAGATTCCAATGACCGATGAGAGCAGCCGACCGCTAGAAGCGTCCTCCAGATTTACCTAATGTTTGCCCTTTGGTAGTCGAGAGCTGTCTCCAAAACTGGGCGCTTCCCGTTGAGAAGTGGGTGGTCGGCCCGAAATGTGGCAGCAAAGCACTCCCCCCGCCCGCGGAGACCCGAATTTGCGTCGCAGAAGGCCACGTTCGCCCTCAGCGTCAACGTCGGGAAAAGCTCCGAGAACCGTTTCGGGGCGGAAAGGCCTTCGCGGTGCCCGTGAAAGGCCGCATCCGGCTGGTAGGATTGTGTCGGAGTGTTGGGATTGTGTTGGAGTTTTTGGGATTGCTGGTGGAGGTGTTGAGTTTGCGCGACCGACAACAAAGAGAGGAAAATGAGAAAGAATGGGAGTGGACTTCTCCGGTGCACTTTGTGAATGCGAATTTTAATGGAGCTTGTCGTTTCACTTTCTCTTGTGAATGATGCATTCTGGCAGAAGAAATGTGGAAGCGGAAGTATTATCAAGAAATAATCAGATTAATTCTAGTTCAAATACCTTTATGCAACTAGCCATGCGCCGTCAAGAAAATGTAAGAGTAATGATAATTAAGAGGCATTTCTCTAATGAAATGATGTTGAGAATTTTAGAATGTACCATCTCTGTACACGCAGAAACAATTCTTATCCTTGCGTAAAGCTATTTTGCTTGGAACATATTATGCTGCGTCAATAACACTTTCTATTATTCTTGTTCCCAAGATATCGCCATTGTTTCGTCCTGGGACGGTCGTGGTTCACTCATTTTTATTCGGGGCTTTAGCTCTGAAATATCGCCATTCAACGATTGTCTCACATTAACTTTCGAGGATGCTAATCTACCATGGCGTATTATATAGACCACTGAGAAATTCTATTGAGGCGCCCAAGGCGAGGTCAAAGGAACTGAGGAGGCGACATCATTAAATGTGCCACAGAGGATGACGCGGTACTAAAAAAAAAAAGGACGTTGTGAAAGGAAAATATTTCGTATCATCTGGTTTTCTTAGTAGTCGAATAGTATGCACATTATATATAAAACATATGTAAATAGACTACGTGAATGAAATCGCCGACGAAATATACTCGTAACTTTCCTACTTTACTTCTGCTAAACAAAATTTACATCTTTGTAAATCATGAAATGGTTCCGGCTGTTACGAACAAATCCCCCACGTTATGGTGACCCATTGTGCCTATAATTTTGGGGATCGTATCAACGTGTGGAGTGTGAAGTAGTGTAGGTTGGAGGATGGAGTTGCAATGGGTGATGTGGTGTGGTGTGGAAGATGGGGTGGGGTGGAAGATGGTGTAGGGTGGCCGGTGGTGTGGGGCGGAGGGTGGTGTGGGGTGGAAGATGGTGTGGAGTGGGGTAAAGTGATGTGGTGTTGGGCGAAAGATGGGGTTTGGCCAAAAGTTGGTTTGGGGTGGGGAGGTGTGGGATATGGGGTAGGGTGGAAGGTGGTGTGGGGAGAAGGGAAGAGTGAGGTGGAAGGTGGTGTGGTGGGGTGGAGGGTCTGGCGGGAGGGCGCGCCGCGGGCGTAGTCGCCGCTCGCTGCTCGCTCGACCTCGACCTCCACTTCGTCTCTGCGTAGAGCGCGCGGCGCCCAGGAATGCGCCACACTTCGCGCCGGGAAATTCCGTGTTTCCCCTCACTAACTGCAGTAGCACCATGTACCCGGCCTCGACCGAGGCGATTCATTCTTTGAACAGCAAACGTAACTTATAATAATAGAGTTCGGATCCCGACGATGACAGAATTTTCGACTGGCGAGATAGCTAGATCGAATTCAGCCGCTGTCTAGAGGAGAATTCTAGCGGCCGGCTGCTCCGATCGGTAGTTTTCCGTGGTTTCTCCGATTAACACCAGGCGAATGCAAGAGCGGGACAAATTGGCCTTGTACAGCGCGCAATACTTCCTTCCTGTTCCTTGTCCTATTCTCACTCCTTACTACCACATACTTACTCTTATACGCCGTACACTACCACACATGTCAGATCAGTGGGGAGCGTTGAGCTTGTCCCGGCTGTGGCGGTGCCTACTGGAGTAGTTGGGGAAAATCCCGCTAGCTGTCGTGTTGGTCGACCCCGGA